TGACAATGGACGCAATCAAGAGGTTTGACGTAATTAAAAGCGTCTTGTAAAGTCCGTTGAAGTGGACTGTGATAAAAGGCAGATACAGCCATGCACAGCTAGTATAGTACATATGTATGTGTATGTATATGTTCATAAGCAGTGTTAGCAATTGGCAAACCATTAGCTTCGCGGCACGCTGCCGGCCTGCCTTTCCGCGTGCACTCCGTAGCTGGCGACGGCTAATTTGGAGTTAAAATACGGAATGAGTACAGTTTTTGATTACGGTTTTGATTAAACTGAATTGCATACACACAAATACATAAACATATGTGCCTAACGTCTATACATCAAATCATCGAAAAAGTGGTGCAAACGGTGGCTGCTAAGACGGTGTGTCTATAGAGCCGGTTTGGCTCGGCGACAGCATGACAAATATTTAAGCCCCACAACTGACAGCTTTACGTTTCAGTTGGCTTACCTGAACTGGTAATATGCTGTGCATTGACAGCGGTGCCGCTGATGACGCTGTTGGACAAGCCTCGCGCCGTTAATTGCAGCCGGTATTGGTGCAATGAACTTGATTTTGATTTCTTGCTTTACATCGGCACCTCTCGTGCAGCAAACGATGGAATATTTAAATGGCGTGTGCGTTGTTGCACCGAAAGTAGGTTAACTTGTTTCGACTTTTATCTTCCTTTTGAGAGTTGCTGTAAAAAGAATTCGCACACCTTTGTTTGTTTTTTTCATTTTCGAAAGTGCGTGGCCATTTAACTAGCAGTGGTTATTGCTTTCAATTTATTTCCGCTTCCTTTAGTGCTCCGTTATATACAGCACTGCCATATATACATACATTCTCCTACTGGAAAGTATGGACCTAACCGACATATTACAGTTATAGAAGGTTATTTAAAATGGGTAATAATCGTGTCTTCAGTGAAATTGTCTCAAAAATTTACAGATATACTCGAAATTAATATAACCTGAGATATCGCTTTAATAGATTTATGCATGGGAGTCTTTAAAAATACTAGAACCTCAAGCACTTGGGACACCATTGCAGCATTTCAATATTTTAAAATTGCCTATCTCGGATTCAGCTTTCAAGTCGTCATTGGCGCCACAACTCTTCACTTCACCTGTTAGCCATATCACAACTATAGCTTTACACAATTAAATGAATCCAATCTAAATTTTCAATTGTTATATGTTTAATTAGTCAAACCTTCGAAAAGTATAATTTTTACCTACGCATTTACGTCATCCCCAATTTTGTTATTTCAAACAAAAATTCTAATATACGTAACGAAGAACAAATAAAAGGCAATGCTGCTTTTTGAATCAAAGAAAACTACCATTTCTAAATAAGGTATGGCAACACCGAATTCAATGGGAAATGTTTCACTGAACATACGCAAGCTTTATATGACATGCAAGCTAACCAGTTTGACAATAGTGATTTGCAGGTTTTTCATTTGGTGTTAAATATTTTCAGACGGGTTGATAAATATTATTTGTTGAGCTAAAAATATATAAATTTTAGAAAAATTGTTGGAAAATTACGATTACGTTATATATTAATTGTAGAAGCTGTTAAGGTGTGTAAATAAATATATATTTCAAGAATTGGAAGTTGTTAAAAAAGTTTTGATTTCCTCAACGGATACATATTTTTCCATTTAACTCATAAATATTTGTAAAATTTGCACCCGCAAAAATAAAACCTTTATTCAAAGATTTGCATAAATAAATGCTAACTGGTTTATTGTTTCAATGAAATTACACATAAACATAACCTTAATAATATGTGGATTGTCATTTTCAGTAATCAAGAACTACAATGACGCTAACATCCGCCGCTGGTATCATCTCGCTATTGGATGAGCCAATGCCTGATTTGAAGGTATTTGCCCTGAAGAAGCTTGATAACATTGTAGACGAGTTTTGGCCAGAGATTTCTGAATCTATAGAAAAAATTGAAATGCTGCATGAGGACCGTTCGTTTCCTGAAAACAAATTAGCAGGCATGGTAGCTTCTAAGGTATTTTATCATTTGGGTTCCTTTGAAGACGCATTAACCTACGCATTAGGCGCTGGAGACTTGTTCGATGTAAATGCTCGCAATGAATACACTGAAACTATAATTGCCAAATGTATTGATTTTTACATTGCGCAAAGAATAACCTTCATTGAAAATCCCAAGGAAGCTAAGGCCGTTGACACACGCCTAGAAGCCATTGTAAACCGTATGATCCAACGCTGCTTAGATGACGGTCAATATCGTCAAGCTTTGGGTATTGCATTGGAAACGCGTCGTATGGATATATTTGAACAATCTATTATGAAGTCGGATGATGTTGCTGGCATGTTAGCTTATGCTTACAATGTCACCATGTCTTTGATACAGAATCGTGGATTCCGAGCCGAAGTACTACGTTGTTTAGTAGGCTTATATCGGGATTTGGGTGTACCAGACTACGTAAATATGTGTCAGTGCTTGATATTTTTGGAAGATCCTCTGGCTGTTGCTGAAGTACTAGACAAACTTACTCGTTCCTCAGTGGAAGGAAATAATTTAATGGCATATCAAATTGCCTTCGACTTATACGAATCAGCCACACAAGAATTTTTAGGAAAAGTTCTGCAAGCACTTAAAGAAACAGCACCTATACCAACAGCCTTGCCGTCCACATTTAAACCACAGGGCACAAATCCTACAAACAGTGAAGATTCATCGAAAACAGCCAGTGATGATAAACCTAAATCAGAAGATACCGCTGGTGATGCAGAAGGTAAAGCTATATTTTTCATCTTGTAATTAAAATTATTAGTGTTCTTTCGTTATCAGGTGATACGAAAATTGAGAGGACAATTGAATCTTTAAATGATTCTGAAAAGGCTCATCAGAAAAATATCGAGAAACTTATTTCAATTTTGTCGGGTGAAGTAACCATTGATCTGCAATTACAATTTTTGATTCGCAGCAATCACGCCGATTTGCAAATTCTTCGTGGCACAAAGGAAGCTGTCCGTGTATCTATTTGTCACACTGCTACTGTTATAGCCAATGCATTCATGCATGCTGGTACAACATCCGATCAATTTCTACGTGACAACTTAGATTGGTTGGCAAGAGCAACCAATTGGGCAAAGTTGACAGCCACAGCTTCTCTAGGAGTCATCCATCGCGGTCACGAAAAGGATTCTTTAGGCCTTATGCAGAGTTACTTGCCAAAAGAGACTGGCCCCAGCTCCGGATACTCAGAGGGTGGTGGTCTATATGCTTTAGGCCTAATCCACGCCAATCACGGTGCAAACATCATCGACTACCTTTTGCAACAATTAAAAGATGCTCAGAATGAAAATGTACGTCATGGTGGATGCTTGGGATTGGGTCTTGCAGCTATGGGCACTCATCGCCAAGATTTGTACGAACAACTGAAATTTAATTTGTATCAAGACGATGCCGTGACTGGTGAGGCAGCAGGTATTGCCATGGGTATGGTAATGTTGGGCTCTAAAAACGCCCAAGCTATCGAAGATATGGTTTCGTATGCACAAGAAACACAACACGAGAAGATCCTCCGTGGGTTGGCAGTTGGTATCTCACTGACTATGTTTGCTCGCTTAGAAGAGGCAGATCCCTTGGTTACCAGTTTATCCACTGACAAAGATCCTGTATTGCGTCGTTCCGGCATGTACACCATTGCAATGGCATATAATGGTACCGGCAGCAATAAAGCTATCCGACGACTATTGCATGTCGCAGTTTCTGATGTGAATGATGATGTCCGCCGTGCTGCGGTAACTGCAATCGGTTTTATTCTTTTCCGCACGCCAGAGCAATGCCCATCCGTTGTAAGTTTGTTAGCTGAATCATATAACCCACATGTCCGCTACGGTGCTGCTATGGCTTTGGGTATTGCTTGTGCAGGCACAGGATTACGTGAGGCAATCGGTCTTCTGGAACCCATGGTTAAATTCGATCCTGTAAACTTTGTCCGTCAAGGTGCACTTATTGCTTCTGCTATGATTCTAATACAGCATACCGACCAGACTTGTCCCAAAAACAGTTTCTTCCGTCAACTTTATGCCGAGGTGATCAGCAATAAACACGAAGATGTGATGGCCAAGTTCGGTGCTATTTTAGCACAAGGTTTGTTAGATATAAAATTTAAATATTATTTACGTATGCAATAAAAAAAAAAACCAAATTTTAGGCATTATTGATGGAGGTGGCCGCAATGCTACACTGTCTTTGCAATCTCGCACTGGGCATACCAATTTGCAAGCTGTGGTTGGAATGCTTGTTTTCACTCAATACTGGTACTGGTTCCCGTTAGCCCATTCGTTGTCGTTGGCCTTTACTCCTACATGCGTTATTGGTTTGAATTCAGACCTGAAGATGCCTAAAATGGAGTTCAAATCCGCTGCAAAACCATCTCTGTATGCCTATCCGGCACCTTTGGAAGAGAAAAAATCGGAAGAGCGAGAAAAAGTGGCCACTGCCGTGCTCTCGATTGCTGCCCGTCAAAGACGTCGTGAAATTGCTGATAAGAAGGAGGAAGATAGCAAAATGGAGATCGACGAGGATAGCAAGGATTCAAAGAAGGACGATAAGAAAATGGATGTTGATGAGAAGGTAGAGAAGAAAGATGACAAGAAGAAGAAAGAAGAAAAGGAAAAGAAAAAAGAGGAAGAAAAGGAAAAGGATGTTGGTGATAAAAAGAAAGACGAAAAAGAAAAGAAGGAAAAAAAAGAACCTGAACCGAACTTTGAGATACTGCAGAATCCAGCTCGTGTTGTTCGTCAGCAGCTGAAAGTTATAAGCGTTGCCGACTCACAAGCCTATATACCCCTCAAAGATGTTACCATTGGCGGTATTATTGTACTGCAACACACCGGCAAATCAGCAGAGCAAGATCTGGTTGAACCAGTAGCTGCCTATGGGCCAAAGAATGACGATGCCAAGGAACCAGAGCCACCAGAGCCATTCGAATATATAGAGGACTAAATGGGAATGCTCTTTATCATTTTGTAATTTTACTGTAACGTTTAAAAATCACACATACATGTATAAACAAATATGTTCTGCGTTTCACATTCAAAGCATAATAAAATTTATATATAACCTAACCAAATCCACCCGTTTACTTTGCCTAAGAATGTACAACTATGCTTCTACCATCTCGTTCAAATATTTAACAAAGCTTTTCATATTATTGCTTTTTCCATACGGTTTTAGTTTTGACAAATTTGCTAATTCCATAGTTTTAGCCAGCCCTTCTATGTTAGAATAATATAAGTAACCTTCATCACTCAATTGTTGCGCGAGTTCAGTTTGGTGGTTGCCCATTAACCTGTCATTAATAACAATAATCCCCGCCCGTCCGTGATTTAGTATATCCATGCAAGTTCCAGCTCCAGCGTGTCCAATTATAAGGTCTGCAGTTAAAATATCAGTCCTGGGCATTTCGAGCTTGAAATCATATTGTTCTATCGTTATACCATAGACATGAAGAATGTTTTTTGAATTCTTTACTGGTCTACCGTGTCCATATTGAATGACCAACTTTTGACATCCTCGTCGCTGTAGAACGTCCAAAACACGAGCAGATGCCACTGCGTCTATTAATTCATCGAATCTAGTAGTGCCTACTGTGACATAAATTATTTTCCATTGCATTTTAATAACTTTACTAGTAATTGCTAAATGAACTCAAAATACAATTGTATGAAATCAAATAAGATAAGTAAAAACGTCGATGTCATTACTTAAGTAGGGAGAAACTTGGTCACTCTAAATGTGATGCCACTAAGTAACAAATATGGATTAGGATAAAGAGCTTTCAAGCATATTTGTAGTTTAAACAAAAAAAAATCAATCGAATCAATAATATTCTAAAAAATTTCCAACGATATCAATATGTTAAATTTTTCACATTTTATTTCTTATATTTATGGGTTAAGTTTTTTAAAAAGCATTTTATACTATTCAGCTGTTATCATGTCATGCTTCTTCTTAAATCAATAGTATTTTTTTTACCACACAACACCAACGCGTAAAAGACATCCAAAACGATCTGAAAGGAGTTGAGTTTATAAATGGAATTCAATTTTCAACATTTTACATTGGTAAAGAGTAATTATTTTTATTAATAAACTCTAATGGGGGTGTTCAAGGAAATTTTGGCGCGATTTCCTCGTGGCGGACTTTCGTATGTTTTCGCCTATGGCAGTGGTGTCAAACAGCAAGTTGGCTATGAAGAAATTGCCAAACAAAAAAAAAACGTTATTGACCTGATATTTTGTGTACGTGATCCTCTTGGTTGGCATGCAGAAAATATTAATCGTCAGGAAAGTCACTACTCAATGCTGCACCGGTTAGGTCCCCGTTTTATCATGAATTACCAGGAGTATTTAGGAGCTCGTGTATACTTCAACACGTTGGTGCCTTTACCCGACATTAACGTAACTATTAAATATGGCGTTATCTCAAGAGAGCACCTACTGGATGATTTATTAAATTGGCGATATTTGTACCTTGCCGGGCGACTTCAAAAACCTGTAAGCGAATTGGTACCAACGAATGGTGACGATGAATTGAACGAAGCTTTAGCAAAAAACTTAAGCAGCGCATTTCAAGTAGCTTTACTATTACTACCAAAACAGTTTACTGCCTATCAACTATTCCACACAATTTCCAGTCTTAGTTACAAAGGTGATTTTCGAATGTTATTTGGAGAGAATAAGCAAAAGGTGCGGAATATTGTTGTGGCCCAAGAAAAAGATTTCTTAAATGTGTACTTACCAGTAATGCAAACTTTAACAGACTATGTTGGAGTCGATTTCAATGCTAGAGAAATAGGGTCTGATAAAACCATAGTGCAGTTTGAACAGGACAAATCGCTATTAGCTATAATACACCATCTACGCAATGCACCCGATGAATTGCAAAAGCGCATTGTGCGAAATTCAGCCTTTAAAGGGGATTATATGAAAATTGTGCCTCACTTGGCGAATTCTCACAATCTCCTCGAGCTGATCCAAACTTCAGTAAATGACATAGTGTGGCGCAGCAGCATTACTCAGTCAATAAAAAACATCCCTAGCGCGGGTCTCTTTAAATCGCTTATTTACAGCTATCGTAAGGCGCTTAAGACTTTTTCTTAGTTGGTTAGCGTACAGAAATGGAACTATGCCAAAGATATCAATATGAAATTGAGCTGCATTAATTTGTTTTAAATGTTCAAATATCTTATGCAAGGAGATTCTTCTAATTTATAGCAGAGACAATTTCAAGAATATGTTGTTAAAGCATTTAATTATTTAAGAATACATTAGGATTACAGCAATGTAAATCTATAAAATAGAAACTGGCTATGAGATATATTTGTACATACATACAAATATTTGTTAACTATTTTTTAGCATTCTTAACTATCTAGTGCAATAAAGTGCAAATAACTTACAACATTAACGCAGTTTTACTTCTTAAATTTCATTTAATAGCTTGAAACTGATAAATATTCACGAAAATAATTAAAGTAAAATGTCCACCGACTCAGATTCATCCGCATCATCGAAGGAACACTGTAAACAGAAGAAAAATAAAAAACTCAAACGGAAGTCTGAGAAAAAGAAGCACAAGAAAAAGGAAAAGAAAGAGAAAAAACACAAGGACAAGAAGAATCACCACAAGGAAAAACTTCGAATAGAACCCAATTTTCCGATTTCGGTTTTGGATAAAAAAGATGAGACTATTGGTGGCAATGTAGATGCCTTCGGCCCGGCCTTACCACCTCATTTACTTAAAACTGACAAAACATTAATAGGCCCTACAATGCCAAGTGAAATTTTAAATTCCATTGAGAGCGCAGCAACTAAGTCTTCCGAAATGTCTGAGAACGATAACGCGGCTACTTCAGTTATTGATGGCGAAATAGACGACATGTATTTCTCATTTGGTCCTATGCCTGTAAGCAGCAACTCTGATGGGTTAGCAAAAATGAGTTCAACACAAATAGAATTGGAGCAACGCGCATTGGAACTCAAATTGGCAGCCATTGAAGGTACCGCTAATACGACGGACATAAACGTACGTGAGGAATGGATGTTGGAATTGCCAGAAGTTGGGCTAAAGGGCGGCTTAGCAGCGCTTTCCAACATGAAGCGAACGTTTCATCAAGGGAAAGAAAGACCGGACTTTAGCGATCGGTGCGTATACTGTTGTTTTATAAAAATTAAAATATAAATAAGTGCTTTTCTTTTCTGTATTAAATTAACAGTTCGTCTTGGACAAAAACCCCTCATGATGAAACCAAGCCTTCCTCGAGCACATCAAAGACCAAAACAACAGCTGACGCATTGAAACGAAGTGCTGAAGACGCTTATGAAAAGCACCGAGATGAAGAGCAAGCACGTCTTGCAAAGAAGCACAAAAAGCAACACAAGCGAGATGAGTCGTTAGTAGATATACACCAAAAGAAATTACGAAAGGAGCGAAAGAAGAGAGTAAGTTTTCTACGGTTTATAATGATTATAGTTACATATATGTATATACATCGCATAAATTAATAGGAAAAGGAACTGGCCAGTGCAGGAGCTAAGCCCGAGCGACGACCATTTAGTCGGGATGTAGATTTGAAATTGAACAAAATTGATAAAAACCAAACCAAACAGATCGTCGATAAAGCAAAAATACTAAATACCAAGTTCGCAAGTGGGAAAACAAAGTATCTTTAAAGTTGTTTCGAGTTCGTATCCAATATTAATGTTTAATATAAATAATTATAAAAATACATTTTTCACTTACAGAAATACGAATTCTTAAAATGTATTTTATTTAAAAAATAAGATGAGGAATTCATTACTTTTCAATGCATTACTCAGCGTTGGGGCGCTGGTTTTGGCTTTGGAATTTTACTCAATAGCATTTGTATTTCATCTTTTTCTTTCCAATCCTTCCAAAGTTCGTAAAGATTTACAATTGCTCGGACTATTTCTTGTACTTTTTCCAAATCGACGTTGAGTTCGGCAAACCAAGTCTTCATGGAATCTTTTTGCAGTATAACGCAGGCAATTTGCAAGCACGCGATTGCAATCTTAAATGGAAAAGTTAATATTTGTATATAATCGAATTTAGTTTCAGTGTTTACCTGATAAGGAGGATATAACAAGCATACATCTGTCCGCAAAGAATCATTGACTATGCGCCAGCTTAGAGTTAGCAACTGTTCCTCTTGCCCCATATCCTGCACCAATTGTAGTAGAGGTCGATAAGGTTGGTAAACAATTAAACAGCAATCTAAGTTTTCAAGCAAATAGAATTCGCACTCTAAAACATGATTTGTGCGATAGGGGAACTCTTGTGTATAGGCGTAACTGAATTTTGATTTAATCACCGACTGGCAAATGTTAATTAATCTTGAATTTGAAATAACTCCGAATTCTTCTACCTTCGAAGCAAGCAATATGCAGGTAGGAGCTAGTAATAATGGATCTATGTTTTTTAGAGAGTTTCGGGCGTAAAACCGTTTGAAGTAAACAGTCGCAGTAGCAATGACCTGTTGCCGAAGTTTTAGTTGTTCACCCAGTACTTGAATGACATTAGCAAAGAAAATAAAAATCTTCTGATACTCATCCTCACTTAGCACTTGTAGATCGTATTGTCGTTCGCGTATGAGGTCCTGCCGATCTAGTATCCACTGCTGTGAGTGAGAACTTTGCCAGAAATTTCCTGCCATTTCAAGCAAACCTACACCAAAATAATATTTGAAACAAATTCATATGTTAAACACTTTCTCCTTTTTTTAGCTTTGAATAGAAAAATTAATGTTGCTGTTAACAAACTCTTTCAAAAGCTTCACCAATTCTAAATTCTTTTAAAATAGTGTAGCAAATTTTATTCGAGTTCACAAACGTCAAATTTGTTTTGTTGTCGTTGAAGAAAGTGAAAAAAAATATAAAACAATAACAGCGTATGACATTTCAATTGTTCTGACCAGTTCTGGCATAAATTTAACGTACTCTATTTTGACAATAAAATTTTTTTACTAGAAAAGCAGCCAACTTTAAGCCCAATTGCCTATCTTGTTCATGTAAGATCGTCGAGGGCGAATTGTTTAATAAAATTTAAGCAAATTCCTTTAAATAATAGACACAATGGCGTTGCGAGTGCTCTCTGTTTCCCAAAATTTACGCCAGCTTTCTAAAGGAGCTGAGCTTTTAAAAGTAAGTGATTATTAAAAAAGAGTGTGTAAAATATGTTCTTTAGCATTACGTAATGTGAAAAGTGATAAAACGTTTGAAACATTTGCAAAAAAATCTCCAAATACATTAAATGCCATTACAAATGTATTTGCGAGATAATATTTTCAAATGAAACATTATTTAACACTTTTGTGCAAATTAATACTTTTGGTTTGAGGTTATGTGTCGTATATTGATTTTCGATTATTGTCTAATTTCATGATAGCGCTACAAGGCAACAGCAAGTCTAAAGAAAACACTCGTGAATATTCCAGCCACCCAGGTGACACGTTTGGATAACGGTCTACGTGTTGCTAGCGAAGATTCCGGAGCGGCGACTGCTACTGTTGGTCTGTGGATTGATGCAGGTTCTCGTTCTGAAACAGAAAAGAATAATGGAGTTGCACACTTTTTGGAACATATGGCTTTTAAAGTAAGATCTTATATAAATACTTAAAAATTATTGAGTTTTTAGAAATAATTTTTTTATTTTTATATAGGGTACTGCTAAACGTTCCCAAACCGATTTGGAATTGGAAGTTGAGAATTTGGGCGCTCATTTGAATGCCTATACATCCCGCGAGCAAACTGTGTTTTACGCTAAGTGTTTGTCGAAGGATGTACCAAAAGCAGTAGAAATTTTGGCTGACATCATCCAAAATTCAAAATTAGGTGAAGCTGAAATCGAACGCGAACGATCTGTTATTTTACGTGAAATGCAAGAAGTTGAAAGCAACTTGCAAGAAGTTGTGTTCGATCATTTGCATGCTACCGCATACCAAGGTACCCCATTAGGACAAACCATCCTTGGACCCACTAAGAATATTAAGTATGTAAATAATAGATTACAAAATATGACTTTTTACATCTTAGTTATTGATCAGATGCATTGGAAAACAAGATCTTTGCGACTACATTTCAACTCATTACAAAGCTTCTCGTATTGTGCTCGCTGGTGCCGGCGGTGTTAAGCATGATGATCTAGTAAAATTGGCTCAAGAAAATCTGCGCGGTTTGGAAAATACATATGATGGCAAACCACCAGTTGTCACATCATGCCGCTTCACCGGTTCAGAAGTACGTGTTCGTGATGATTCATTGCCCCTCGCACATGTTGCCATTGCTGTGGAAGGTTGTGGTTGGACAGATCAAGATAATATCCCATTGATGGTAGCTAATACTTTGATTGGAGCTTGGGATCGTTCTCAAGGTGGTGGCGTCAATAATGCTTCGAACTTGGCACGTGCTAGTGCTGAGGACAGTAAGTTTTAGAAAGTCAATCAATAGACTTAAATGAAAGCATACGATTTTCTTCAGATTTATGCCATAGTTTCCAATCATTCAACACCTGCTACAAGGACACCGGATTGTGGGGTATCTATTTCGTTTGTGACCCATTGCAGTGCGAGGTAATAAAATAATTGATATATATTTTTAAGATATTTTATTAACTATATGTTGTGTTAAGGATATGTTATTCAATGTCCAAACGGAATGGATGCGTCTCTGCACTATGGTTACTGAGGCCGAAGTTGAACGCGCCAAGAATTTGTTGAAGACCAATATGCTACTCCAACTTGATGGCACCACTCCTATCTGTGAAGATATTGGTCGTCAAATGCTATGCTACAACCGCCGTATTCCTTTGCACGAATTAGAGCAACGCATTGACGCCGTAAATGTCAGCAATGTACGTGATGTAGCTATGAAATATATTTATGACAGATGCCCCGCAGTAGCTGCCGTCGGTCCGGTCGAGAACCTACCTGAATATAATAGAATTCGCTCATCGATGTATTGGTTGAGGGTCTAATTCATTTGAATAAACGAAAAATTGCTTCGAGCAAAGTAGTGTAATTGAAGGAAAATTAATTGAAAAATAAAACAATCTGAATAAAAATATCCAATAGTAAAAAAAGAAGCGTAGTTTAAAATGAACTCTCTATTTTCCTTGTGAGTTATAAATTTTTGAATGTCCACTTACAGAATCCTTAATATATTATATATTATACAGAAAAAATCTAACATTATTGAGAAGCCCTTTATTCTAATACAAATACCCGGAGCAAAAATTTGTGTACAACGCTAATAATAATTGTAAATATGCTATACTTATATAAGCGAAAATAATGGAACTAGTCATGTGTATAATTGATTGGAATACCACTAAGACCTTTTTCAATCCTGGCTGGCTCTGTGCTTCCTAATGCTGGATCAAGACCTTTCCAAGTACGGTCTTCAAAGGTGAGACCAGTATTGGTGGTCATCACTTCCATTTTTCCTTGCCCAGTAAGAGACTGCTGCTGCTCAATTAGTGCTGCTGCTCCATCCTCTTCAGCATTTTCGGTGTTATTGCCTCGAACACGACCACTAATTAGGCTGACGTCTTGTTCCTGCTGGACGGCAGGATCAAATGCCAAAAACTTTTCTCCTTCCGGTAACAACTTTTTAAAATCGGTTACATATGCCTCGGGATATTTCATATGCCATGCTGGATTGAGTGCTATTTCAGCTTCGAATACTGAAACAATGGGTTTGTAGTACTCTTTGGAATTATACATATTATTGAAGGGACATCCAATCAGCACGAAACAATCTATCTCTAAAAAGTTCGCCAATTTAGCGGGATTAATCCGCCCCACTGAAATAATCTGAGTCTTTATTCCACGGGATTTAGCCATTTCCTGTAACCTTGAAACAATTTTTAAATAACCTTCGGCTGTAAGAGTGGCCACAATTAGTCCTAGAGTTTGAGCATCTTTACATTTCTCTATGTAGTGGTATCGTCGACGGATGTATTGGACAGTTAACGGATTTTTTTCAACCAAACTATATTTATTTGGTTCGTAGATAAACCATTGTGAAGCTGATAACGAAAGGGAAAAAATAGAAAAAGTCAAATGAAAAATATTTACACAGATAATATAGATAGAATACCTTGAGTTGTGATCGATAGGTTGGAAAATCTTGCGTTTTCGAAACCCACGAAAATGCAGATGGGATCACTTGGATGTTTTTGCTCTACTACTTCCTCTGCGGGGGGATATGCCTCAATGAATAATTCTTTACATGGCAGCATTTCCTTTAATTTATCTACAAAATATTTTATACTAACTTAATTAAAAACGGGATTATTTCAAACTTACAGCATAACGCATCTTCATCCGCTTCATCAACACGTTTGTCTAACAAATGATGGTAACCTATATCCAGGTATATAAATAAGGCTTTTCCATTGACAGTCTCCGCCATTGAAGACAACTTAAGTGTAAAATTTCTCAAATTAAAAGGATACTGTGGATACATATACAACACTGGAAGACGAGATACTCTACTACGACAAGCGTTGCCAAAATGAATCAGGCTATCTGCCTCAACATGTCCCGCAGCAATCTGTAATATGTTTTTTTTATTTTTATTGTGACTCATGTTTGAGGTAATTCAAATGACAATTTACCTCATCTACACAACAGCTGCCATACGAGGTATCGGCCAATATGAAAAGTTTTATATCTGTCGACCCACTGTTGGGAGTGAACAAAGCTTTAAGACTATCACTTATCTCATCACTATGCGGCAGGTAATGGTCAGGGAATTGGAGACAGACCTAAAAAGATATTTTTATTGATTTTGTTTAATTTATGATTGTTCAATAGTTTTACCCGCTTGTATCCATTTTGTCGAATCCACCCCCAACAAATTTTTAGTAGGGTACCATTCCAAACCTGCTCAAGCGGAGGTGTGACTTCGCCCGTCTCCAAGTCAACTTCTCTTTCAATTACTTCCTCCGCAGAATTAAAAAAGGCTGAGGTGCTCATTGTAAACAATAAATGATATTTTGATGTCTATTCAATAATTTAGAACCAAAGAGAATGTATAATGCAATTTCTAAAAATTGCAGGTACCGTGTTTAGGGTTGCTGTGCAGCTGAAAACCACAAACAACCAGATTTATTCTACTAATATTTTTATATACAAAAATGCTCTAAATAATAATTACTTTCAATATATATATCTATTTTTTTGTATAAATTTTTTTTATTTAATTATTAATTGTTGTCGATTCTTAACCACGGATATTTTTTTGACCCGACATTACCAAACAGAGAACAACTACTATTTATCAATTATTATAATGTGGCAAGTTCGCAGTAGAACTGTCAAAGACTTTTGAGGTTGCCTAAACTACTTTTTTCTAAGTCAGTTTGTATATTATTCTTGTATGCAGTATAGCATTTAATGTGTATTGTAAATACTTAAAATCATTTATAAAAATCATATAATTATGTTTTAGTTTTAACTGGTTCTTAATACAATAGTAAAACTTGCTAAAGTAAATTACTTTGAACAAAAAGTTTTTGAATAATCCTAGTAAATGTGAAAGCTGGCATCTCTGAAAACGTAGAGGAAAATGAAAACGTCAATTTAGAGAAAGCAAAAGTAAAGAAACGCTATAATTTTTTCAAGCTGCTAATTCCGGAATTTTCGAAAAATTTGCAAGAATTCACGCAGTTTGCTTGAAAATATATAGAAGTGAATAGTAAAAACTAAATAGTTATAAGCAAGTTAGAACAAGAAAATACTCTACAACATGGATGAAGCGCGTGATGAAAGCCAATTTATTGTGGACGACGTAAGCAAAATAATTAAGGATGCCATTGAGAACACCATCGGCGGCAACGCCTACCAACATGACAAGGTAAACAACTGGACGGGACAAGTTGTGGAGAACTGTCTTAGTGTTCTTACCAAGGAGCAGAAACCATATAAATACATTGTCACGTCGATGATAATGCAAAAGAATGGCGCTGGTCTGCATACAGCCAGTTCATGCTATTGGAATAATGACACAGATGGAAGCTGCACAGTGCGTTGGGAAAATAAAACGATGTATTGTATTGTGTCGGTGTTTGGTCTAGCCGTTTAAGAATTGATGAAAGGAAACTGAAGTGAGGTGATGCCAAAAGCGGCTACAGCCAGGGGAGGGTATAGACTTTTTAGTTGTTTTCGGTGGACACAAAAACAAAGTAAAACAGTAAATACTATAGAAACATACAACATTCTCAACCCAGATAAACGCTTACTACAGCCATTTGAATTCAATTATAAAATCGATTTATTACTCTGACCAGAGAGCTTGTAACAAAAAATGTGTTAAATCTTTTATAGCTGCATAAGTTGTTGAAACTACAAAATAATATAAAATTCTTTAGGGCCTTAAAATTGAATAAAAATATAGTTGAGGTGGTGTGCTTACTGATTTTAAGAATGTTCAATATGTGCAGCAATTGAATATAAATTTGAATTAAAATCGCAGAAAATGTATTTTTATAGAGGGTACCGAAAATATGTATATGTATATGTAAGAGCGTGCTTTACATTAAAAACTAATATATTTACTACTAGGAATTCCAATATTTTTAGTTTTCGATAAAACATTAAAATCTTAGTGGTTTATGCCATTTATTTCCGAATAACCACGTACATATATGTATACATAAATATTTAAGGCTTTGCATCTGAAATTGATAATAAAACACTAATATTCTAAATAATATGGACTTTTTATTGGTCTGGGTATAATTTTGTAAGAATTTCAATGACAATAATAGTATTTTGACTCTTAATGGGACCTCGCACACACACATGTACATATGTGCAATTTTTTATTTTAGTGACACTTCAGGTCTGAACTTTCATGAATCATGCTAAGGTAGTTAAACTTCATAATTGTTAACCTTGGAATTTCTTCATGTATGTAAGTATACGTATGTATATCTATGGGTCGACTAAAGTTTGTTGTTTTAGAAGTAGTTTATTTCTTCATTGTTCTCCAATTAATTTAGATGTTAAATAAAACATATGATCCCATTTTATTATGTCATCCGCTCTCACAACTCTCTTTGTCAATTGACTTTTCGATAATAGAAAAAAACAGAAATGAGAAAACCGACAAAAATACGCTTTTTTTGTTTTATTTTCTTTTCTCTAACAGTTAATTACGCACGTAATGAAAAATGATAATAAAAAATAATAAAAGCGATACTTACTGATAATGAAATTACATAGGGATAATGTTCACTATTTAAAAAAAAAAATTTTACCCGACTGTCCTCTCTAAAACAGTATTTTATGCTCAAATATTTGATTATACAAGTGGCAGAATGAAATACTCAAATACGTATTTTTAATATCTAATCGTCTATATTTTACAAATGTCTAAGGCTCTTTACTAAACTAGCGCAGGAAAGCGTTTATTTTTTCGATTTCCTACTAAATCCCCCAGGTAAGGCAGTCATTTTGCTAGGCAAACGTAATGTCAGCAAATCTGACTTTGTTGGTCGAACAGCATTCGCAATATGCGCAAACTTCACCAATTTAATTTTTGAAACACACAGCTCTTGTGCCAACACGTTTAAATCCACGGTAAAATTTTCGCTGATTATCAATGCAAGAACTATAAAATAGCATAAGGCTTTTTCTGAGGTGTACGAAGTGCGAGAACTAAAATAAACGGTTGATTTTTAATATATTCTATTCATTAGTTTAGCATAGTTAACTTACAAAGGTTTTGAATGAGGATCAGAAAAACGTGAACGAACATCGTTTTCTGCTTTTTCCGTGATGCCGGAAAGTTCAATTGTTTTGATTGAACGTGCACGACTTTTGAGCAAATTTAGCAAACAGTCCATGTAGATAATTAATTTCAAATGTAAGAATCCATCTGGTGTTGGTGAATTATTTTGTATATGTTTGATACAATTGCATAAATATTCCGACCGAATTCTGTAAATCCATTAAATTTTAATTAAAATTTGGTTAAAATTAACATGCCGATACCACTTACGGTAGCTTATCCACTGGTGTTGAGTAGACCACTTTCGATTCCTCATCTAAACGATCGAGCAGCTCTGCAGGCACAATATCATGTACATCATAAATTTCTTCTAACTTTTTAGCATCTTTATTGAATTTAGGTCGCAAAATATCAAAGTTATATTGCGTATCGAGTTGTTCCTCGCCTTCTTTGTTGAACTCGGCTTCACGAACAGTGTTGTCCAAATCATTCTTTAGTACTTCGACATTCACTTTATTATTTTCTTGATTAGCTGCAAAACGTGCAGCTTTTCTCCCTCCAAATTGCTTCATTAGCACAGCTCTGGTGTGTTCGGCCGTCAAGGTTGGCAAAGGTTTTTGTTCAAGAGTATTAAAAATATGATTGTTGAGTGTAGCTTGTTCAATGGGAATAATACGAAGCTATTGGGATAATGAAATATATAACAAAATATCATTTAAAACTAAATATTTTAATCAATACCTTATTTGTTATTTTATTGCGGACACAGATGTAAGTGTCTGTGAGTGCTGCCGCCTCACCAACATCCATGATACCATGGTAAATTTGGTCATTAGCCGTTACCATTGCAATATTGGCATTTGACTCTTTACCACGTTTTTGCAGTAGACGAGTAAATTGTGTAGTATCCTTACTTACGGCTCCTAGTTGGCCGTTTTGAAATTTCACTGAAAACATTTGTACTCGAAATTTGTATCTGTATTTGTTTTTGATCTGTGAGAAACTTACACAATGTAGGTATTGCGGCGTTACGTTTCCGAGGATATACCTTCTCAATAGTTGCTTTTTCCTTCATTATTATAATTTAAAACAATACAACTTAGTTTAATAAAATTAACTAATGCGAGTATGAAAGTATTCAAAGCAACAATGAGACACGTGAAGAAAATGGCATTAGTGATGAAGAACTGATAGAATAATTTAATGGTTATTCATATGAATACCAAGTAGTCATTGAAGTTAATTTGTACTCTATAACAGAAAGATAACCAAGAAAGATATAATTCACATATTGCTTTTTATTGCACAAAAATTATAAATATATATATTATATATAATTTAAATGTAAATGCATATTATATAATTTAATTAGTTTCAATATTGTAACTTTTTTAATTAAATTTAAAATGTAATTTAAATGCGTAGGTATTTTTTCTTATCTATATCAAACGTTTGTAAGTTTAACATATGATAAACAAATGTGATTGAAAAGCTTTCTGCAGCAATAAATTAAAAACTAAGTTATAGTATTTTGTTAAGTAAAGCTGGGTTATATACCATACTTGTGTGCTGATTTCACGTAGATTTAGTCATGGTATCGGCGGACGTAAAACCAAATCCGCTAAGTGTATAGTGCTTACTCTTTATGATATGCACCACTTGCTGTATTGGTAAGAATAAATGAATAGTATAGTGCAAATTTGTGTGATAATATTTTGAAATACTAACCATAACCAGTTTAATTAGAAAAACGGCAAAGGTCAAAAAATTTATGCTAATTAAAGCTGCCTCAGGAGGAAAGTTAAGATTTGATTCTCCCAATATACCGCGTCTGCGGCGCATGTGAACCTTTGGTGTCCAAATCATACTGAATTGGTCCTCTGTTATGATTAATCAAAAAAACAATATATTAATGATACCAAATTAGAATCCAATCACCCATTTTATGTGTGTATATATGTAGATGCATCGCTTGTTTACTGGTAGAGCGCCATAATACAAAAATTTATGTGAAGTATGCAGAAACATTTCTTTCAAAACCTAATAATAATATTAACTCTTGTGGTTAGATCATTTACATATTTAACAATTAAAATATTTAGGGACCTTTTGTATTTTTTTAATTAACGACACTCTTCGATTAAACAAGCGACATTTATTATTTATTACCTATCAAGTGCATCATTTTATTTTTCAAACGCTTTAATTTATGAAGTTTCTGTTCGAATGTTAATTTTGATTGTTTGACCCATCTGCGCTGCATAGTTTTTAGAAAGTTTATAAATCCTCGAAGCGTTGGATATTGTATGCCTTTTATGACATGTGAAAGCGTGTTGGTATTTTCCACTTTAGACCTTCTTTCTGCGTTTTCGTCTGAATTTTCCTCAACAAGCATTTCCTCGTTATGCTTAGATTCATTTGGTACTTGTTCAACCGTTGCTCCAGTATATATATTTTCTTCTTTTATCTTGGCTGCCACTTGGTTTTCTGATTTTTGAATACTTGATATTCCTGTTCGGACATCAGGCTGGCCTTTAGTTTCTAACAGTTTCGAAGCTGGATCAAGCATTTTTCTCAATGTCTCCACGTCTTTCGCATTACTGAAGCGTTCGCGTTGATATTCTAACCATTCTGGGCTGGGAGTCGTTGCAGGCTCAGCATTATGCGGTTGCAGGTCCTTAGTGGATCCATTATTCGCGTATGCACCATAGAAATAATGAATTACTATGCAAAATAGAATCAAAGAACCACTCAATTGTAATTTTAACATGATGATTTGTCTAAAGTCTTGAAGCTATGAATGATGGGCTATGACTTAGAATGTGAATTTCAAATTATTCATTGTTTGTGGTCGCGTTGAGCGCATTTCACGCATTTTGATTTTTACTATGTTAGATGATTTTTTTAAGAATGTCAACCGTTGCATGCGAATGCACCACTAACGGATTGGTTATTTAATTAAGAGACGCATACCTGTATACAGTGTTGGCCATATTTATAGCAACACATTTGTTATATTTAAATTTCACAACATCTAAACGTTTTCCATTATCTTCCTACAGATAATCAACAGACATTTTTCGAAATAATATTAAGTCAAAAAGTCTTCAATTAATATCTCAGCATTATACTTACAGAATATTGATCACCTTACTTCAAATTTTCCATTTTAAAATCCGAAAAATGAACAAGTAATTATAATCGGAATGTAGAATAGACGTGGTCTTTGTTCATTAATTAAAAAACTTACCAGTTACTTTCTGGATTTATCTTACAAAACGATAAACAATTACATTTTGCTTATTAGCAAAATATTCAATATTTATTTCAAAAAATAAAGATGCGCACCATACTTATAACACATTATATCATAAGACTGATCTTAGCGATCGTAATAATTATACATAGAATATATAACATGGAGTCTATGTTTGGTTTTTGTTAATCTATTATAATGGTATTATCTATCCCTTTATAGGTTTGGTGTATAGAATTCGGAGAAAAAATTTAGCACTATGGTTTAGTTGTTGTAAGCATTTGTAATTTATTTGCCATTATTTGGCATACTTAGTAATATTTAAATGTGTTTATTTATAAGTGTAATTTAATTATTTTCCTTTTTTGTTGTGCTTATAAGTATTCTAAGTAAAAGTCAATTACAATTCCATACGAAAATCGAGTAAGGTACGGTTTAGAGGAAAATTCTATATACTATAAACATTTGCAGTTACAGTGCTCCATTGCCGAAAACGTGCTTAATCTGAGGAAATAAACAAGAAAAAACTTCTTTATAGGCTATACGTTTTAGTGAGCTGATATCGGCGGTTCTGACAAACGTGCAGCTTCTTGGGGAGAAAAAAACGTGTTTAAAACTTTATATCGATATCTCAAAAACTGAGGAACTAGTTGGCGTATAAACAGACATACAGACGGATGTGACTAAATCGACGCAGCTTGTCATGCTGATCATTTTTGTATATATTTCACAGGGGTCGACGTTTCTTTTTGGGTGTTACAAACTTCGTGGCAAACTTAATATACCTTGTTCAGCGTATAAAAAATAAGTTAGACAAATATTTTAAGAATCAAGTTTTACCAATAACTAGCGATATTTTGTATAATCAAGTTGCATAGAGTCCCTTGCTTCAGGTAATAATAATAATTTTATTTGCTTTCGATTAGCGCACGCTTTAAGAATTAGAGCAATATGTGCTTCCATAGCCGACAATTGTAAATACTACTGTAATTCGATTACTGGACTTTTTGTTCATATGTTAGTTATAGATAAATTTGTAAAGAAACAAATTCGCCTATTGGGCACTTTAGAGAATTTTGTATATGCGTACTATGTATGTACATATATATAATATGTATGTAGTAGTTGTAGTTAGTTCACTAATTTCTATAAATATTCACGAAAAATTTGTTATGCTTTCATGGCTTTTTCTAAGGATTTTCAAATTAGATTTCATATTCACGTCACGTACTTTGTTTATCTATGTATGCGTGTTTGTATATAAATCATCTCATTTCACATTCCGACACAGATGACCACGCATCCATTTGATGGCCTTATCACCGATAGCTTCCACCTTTGGCGTGTTGGGTAAACTGCGACACCCACAAGATTCAGCATCGATTTGTTGGTGTTGATGTGGTTGTTGTTCTATGGATGACTTTTGACGTTGACGTGGTCGTTGTTGCTCACCGACTGACAATTGTGCAAATTGCTGTTGGTGTTTATCCTCTTGTTGCACTTTGTCTTCGTGGTTTGTTTCCTGTTTATCGGCTTTATCGGTTTCTACATCAACAGGTCACATATCACCGCTACTGGCCCATCGTATGTCGTCCGCCTCATGCGTTAGATAGCGTGTGCCCACTTGACCCTCCAAATTGCGCAAGTCTCTATAGGTTTGCTTATCTTGAAGCCAATAATGCTGTAGACTTTTATCGACCGTGTAGCGCTTCCGCTGCTTCACCTGTAGCAGATTGTTGATGAGATCGATGGCTAAAAGGTTAAGATAGAATTAATATATATACACATCAGTGTGGATGTTTGGAGAGTGTGTTGTCTGCATACCATTAGAGGAGATCTCCTTCCATGGATTTGGGGGATACATGAAAGCGGCATTTTGGATCTGATCATTTATATCCTCCTCCTCGTTGAAGGGGAACGTGCCGCTCAAACTGACATAAATTATAACACCAACACTCCACATATCCAATGAGCGGTTGTAGCCCTTGTTGCGCAACACCTCAGGTGCTGTGAAAATATTGCAAGTTTTTTTTTACCAAAACGACCAGAGTTTAATTATACTCACCCAAGTAGGCTGGTGTTCCCACAACTGAGCGCCTAAATGATTTCTCACCAATAATTCTGGCATAACCGAAATCACACAGTTTGACTTGTGGGAATTCGGCGTCGGAGGAGAGCAAGACATTTTCCGGCTTCAAGTCACAATGCACAATATTTTTGCTATGCAAATGTTTTAGGGCTATGAGTATCTGTGTAATGAGAAATTTCGTTACTCGTTCGCTGAGACGTCCGCGCTCGTGCGAAAGAATCATCTCCAACATATCACCCTTAAGCTTTTCCATCACGACAAATATTCGTTCAGGCGTCTCAAACATGCGCTCCAAATTCACAACACCACAATGTGAAATGTTCTGCAAGAAAAAAATCCATGTTATACAAAAATATATAATAGAATAGACTAAATTTATATTAAAGTCATAAATACGGTTCAGCTAATTTTACAAATGAAAAATAGGTACTGTTCCAAGTCCAGGTCTACGTGACCGGGATGGACGCGGATTCTTGTAGCTACAAGGAATATCAGTGAATCACTATTAAGTACCAAGAATATTTTAAGGTAATGGTACATCTATTTCAGGTGCCTTATATGAAAAATGTATGCCAAATATTCTGTATGTTTAAAGATTAATATAGAAATAAATTTTCGAAACTAACCTGCAATATGGCAACTTCATTTTTGAGTTGTGCTTCCTGCTTGGTAGGAAACCGCAACTTATCGATCACTTTAATGGCCACTTCACGTTTGGTTTTTTTGTGAACACCACCGTAAACAACACCAAATTGACCCGAACCAAGCACTTCATCCGGGAATATTTGATACAGCTGTCCCATATCCTGTACGTTTTCTTCAGACTCACAGCATTCTGTGAACAAAGCATACTAAACCTTGTAGTAAATGTACAAAAGCTCTGGTCGGAACGGCTGTACTTACGTGTGTTTGTTACATGCATATAGGCCTGCCTGATGATTGTCTCCCAGCTCTTGGCAATGTCGGAGCCAATTCCGCTGTCTGAGGGCGGCAGTCTTACCGCTTGTTCTTCACGTATGCCCACCAATGGATCTTGTCCCACATAATAGCTGATCGAAGCTGTCTTAAGTTCGAAGCAAAAGTTGTTGTCTACGCGCAAATCGCGATTTGTGTCTATACCTTGAATTTCAGATAGCGGTATGTCTTTATGATATTTACTACCCTGTTCGGAGAGGAACAGTGTCAGCGTTAGAGTTTTCGAATCCAAACGCCAATAGTATCGTTTCACTGTTTTATCTAAGCTGGTATAGTGGACCAGCCAACCCTCTTTGATGGCTTGGCCGCCACGTTTCTTTGTGTGTTTCACTGATTGTACGATACGCATTAAAGGTATATTGGCACTGGGCGATGACGAGGAGCTCGATTGCTCCGATTGGCCATCAATTGACTGTCCTTCGCCGGCGCTACGTGAATCCGTATATGCACCGCGCCCATCCGTGCTACCGACCAGCCCATTAACCAATTCCGGTGGAGAATTGTGGGCATTCGTTGTGGTCTTTGGCGCACCTGTACGCACAGATTTTGCTCCAGTAGCCGCTGTACCATACTTATGTGTCGCGCTACTCATATAGGCACCGCTAGCACTTGGCGACGGATTGTCCTCGAAATCACTGTCATCGAACTCTTCGCGGAAGAAGTTGTCACCTGCTTTCGATGCATGCCCATGTGTAGGCGTGTTGTCCGCATAATCGTTTACTTGTAACTGTCGCTCTCCGGTACAGTCGTGTGGCACTTTGTCTAAACACTTCTTATGCGCATTGTATTGGCAATCCTTACATTGTAGACCTTGCTTAAACAGACCCTTCAGCAGTTTCTTGCAGTATTGACATACGGTCGGTATGCCATATGTGTGTACCATGAAGGTGTGTGGAATGCGTATTTTTTCGGCGTAAGCAAACGTGGGTGTGTACATGGATATATTGGCGCCGAGGCAATGATTACTGCCATGGGTACCATTACGGCTACTTGAGGACGGAGAGCGACTGTGACTGCGATAATGCGGTACATTCTAAAGATATAACAAAAGTGGAGGAGAAAGAAAGAATTGAAAGTAAATTAGAACAAAGAAGATTTTGCATTTTTAAGCTTCACTAAGTGATCTGGCGTAGAGTATTTACGATTGCAAAATGAAAACGATAAATCAAAAAACAACATATCCATTTAATTTTCATATCTTTATTAAGTTTTTTGCAAAATTGGTATAAAATGTCTTTGTTTATATTATATTTATAATATTGAATAATAAAAAGTATAAAATAATTAATATTTGTATAAATTTTTTGTAAATGCTCTAAACCAGATCGCAGTAGAGTAATCTTCACAATCATATTTTTCGAGAGAGTATTCGACTGTATTCTAAACTACCCCACACCAACTAGAAACTAAGAGTATATATAAAATAACAAATTAAACACTTTTTAAATTGTTAACGAGAATGTTTTCAATGCTTTCAATTTGATAATTAGTTTAGTCTTTTAAGTGTTGTTTTCCTAATCTTTCGATTGCTCTCTGTATTTCTCTACAAGTGCTCTCATCTAACAGTCTAATTCTTAATTATATCGCTCATCAGATCTGACATTCGCTTTACCAGTGAGCTACCGCCATCACTTCGCGCCTGGTCCTCGTTCGAGATTAGTGATTGTGTTGAACCACCCGAAGGACTGCGTGGCGGCTGTAGAGCCGACGAACGTCTCGAGGTTGAATCATTCGGGCGACTGCAATTGTTGGGTATTTTTACCACACAGCGTTTATGATAGTTTTGGCCGCAACCTGTTGATCGGGAGAATTATATTGAATGCTATTTTGTATTTTCTATAAAAGCAACAAGCTCACCATCACATTTGAGTCCTTGGCGCACCAAGCCGAACAGCATTTCACCACAAAAATCACAAAATGTTGGCGCTTTGTACGAATGTACATTGAGCGTATGTGGTTTTAGTGTTGGCATTTCCGATGTGGGATACAAAATAGCTGTGTGAGACAGGAAAAGGACACATGACAATCAAACGTTCGTTTTGCAAAAGCTGAAGCTTTTGATCTATTCAAATGATTATACTTACGGCTGGCTGTCAGTACAATTTCTACCAAAGTCTCGTCGACTACTTCCGAAGCCGAGTTGATAATGTGCAACACATTTGGACTGTTGTAGTCATGACGAAAGAGTAGCACACGTTCTGGTAAATGTGTCAAACCACTGTCGGGTATCTGAAAACCAAAAATGATGATAATAGTAATGAGTAAGTAACGTTAAAATTTATTGTATTGAGATATTCCGCATTTTAGCCGATAAGTTCGGTATAAACTTAATTTCAAGAAAACCAATTATTTAGGTGTACAGTCCACCGGAAATATGGAGAAAGAGCACTTTTTTAAATAATTTTGAGGAATGATGCTGTGCTGACTAAGCTTGGCTAGCTATAAATCCGGGTCCGTCCCGTTCCGTTGATAGGGGAATATATGGACAGATTGCGACCAATTTTATATCAGAGTTCAACCAACCGGTTTGGTACATTTGATATTTGAAAATTTTAAATTTGAGTTTTGTAGTTTAATTTGTGCGGGGTTATTATGTATATTCAGCGAGTAAAGGTCCACAAATTGGAGCCATATTCCTACCAGCAGGAGAGCAAGGACGTAATCAGGCAAAACAAGGAATCGTTTAGGTAACACTTCCCTTGTCATGTGTACGTAAATAGAATTAAGAGAGGAGTGAAGAGAAATTATAAAATAATTTGCAATGCGATGCACTTACTATATAATTAATATTACATATATGAATACAGTTAGCATATTGAGATTATTACGGAGCCCAGGAGCGACTACATACGCAGTCTTTGAATCATTATAATCCATTATTAATAAGGGTCCTACGCAATGCTCTATTTCACCTAAATTATCATCATATATGTATGTTTGTATGTATGTATGTAGGTAATCTAAATGCTTAATACCAAACAAAATGGGTGTCTTTATTCCCCGTCCATTTATCGTTTATAGTAATTTTCCACTAGAACTCACTTGTAAATAAATAAGCTTTCCCATTTGGATAAGTGCAATAACATTGCGAGTCCATCAACATGTGACATTGCTACAAAAATCCCCATGTCATTTCTAATTATGATATTACTTTGATGATATGCAATATTCAGACCTCATTCCACTTTTATCCGAAGCGAATTTAATATTAAAGCGACTGCTCCTACAGATATTTACTCCTACTTTTGATATCTGACTTCTGAATACACACACATATATACATATGTATGTGTGTGCGATCAGACTCAAGTATTTGTGTTTGTATGCATGTGTTGAATAAATACCGAGTACCATATCCCCCGTCATAAATAATTGAATGTGTAGCAAATCGAATTAAATACATTGTGGAAAGGTCGGCTGCGTATTGCGAAAGTCGGCGGTCGTCCGGAAAATATGCTGTAATAAAATAAAATAATTAATGCCTGGCAATTAATGTGCGGTGGGCACGTGACATTCGCGACAACACGGTCAATCTAGGGCGCAACGTCCAAAAGGGCATGTCAACAACTTGCTTCGATTGCGACCGTAAAAGACAGTCGTGTTAGGGTCGGTTATCGTTTTTTTCTATAGAGATTATAGTGCGATAAATGTATATAAGAGCTTATTATTCTTAAATAGAAATATATTTTAAAATTCAGCGTTTATTGTCCTAAAGTTGTTAATTTAAGTGGAGACCTTGCTTTATATTCTATTATTCATGTTACTCACAGCGAGAGTTTTTATAATTTAACTGTTCATTTTAGATGGCGTTCATATATTTTATTTTAGACGTAATTAATTTTACGTGAGCCTCTTTCTCATTGATTTATCTGCTATTTGTGTGGAAAATCTACGATATAAAGGGATTATAAACTGCTTAATGTTTTTGAAAAATTCTACTCTGCAGGGAAATTCTAAAAGTTTAACATTTTTCCTTCCAAAGGAGTCTGTTATAATTGCTGGGCCGAGAAACCGCTGTTGTTCAAGTAATTTTTTAATACTAATTTGTTTGTGAAAAATATTACATATAAGATCTTAAAGATTTAAGACTTGTAATTTATGGGTCATAGAGAATATATATGTATGTACATACAAACGTGCAAAATATTTTTGTAAATATTTTATGTTCCTACGTGTTCGATTTATGGCAGTACATAAATATAGTGCCAGCATAGGGAGATAAATACTCGTACAGCGAAATTTATTTGCCACTTTATATACGAAGCTATGAAATATTTATACTGCAACTGAGCTCCTCGAAAATTAAATGCTTTGTCAAATGCGGTTTCATCATCTTTTCAAACATAAATGATGACTGAGACAAGCCAGGAGGTAAACGGGAATACAATGAAGTATAAAAATGCGAAAAATAATAATGAATACAGCGTGTATGTATGTGCATGTATTATATATTAATAAGATAAGATAAGGCTTATCCCTCCCATTGCTAACGTGAGCATCTGTGCTCATAGCATTCAGCAATAACCTAATCAGTATGATTAAAACATTACTAAAACATTACGGTAAAAATAAGTAATCTATCAACAAAACTCTAAGGACTTCAGTTTGCCACCACACGCATACCTCAACAATCGCACACATACATACAAACATATGTGGAAGTGGAAGTAGCAATTTAGCCGTAAGGTGTGGTTTTTGAGACAACCCAGAACGTAAAGTTTATGCAAATTTAAGTCGTCACAAAATTACATATTGCGTATAGCCGCAGCCGCTTGTGTAAATGACAGCGAAACGAACTCACCTTTGTATTGATAAATTCACATGCTAAGTCCTTAAGCGACTTCAGCGTCAAACTGCTGGCGGCCACAGAAACAGCATCGCGCAAACTGCCAAATTGAAAGAGGAAAGTCACCTCGGGGCCTTCCATAATGGCAGGAACTCCAGCGCCAGCACCGACACCACCACCACTAACGCCGGCAACGAAATTGGGGGCGTTGTTGTGGTTGTTGGTGCTATTGAAGTGTTGTCTGTAGTGCGCCAGTGCAACTGTGAATACTCCTCCTGTGCCACAACAATAATGCAGAAACTGAGATTAGCCTGATGCTTCGTTTCGACTGGTAAATGTACTTCCTCTATCCGCCGGTTCTCTGTACTTTCGTCGGTATGTAAGTATATAATTTTCCTTCGGTGGGTAGGTCTGTTGCGTAGCGAGTCTTTTTGAGTTTATAATCGCTCAGTATGATCGTTTTAGGTGGTTAAGTGGATAGCTTGTTTCAATGAATGGCCCAAATAAATAACTGTACTGGACTGGACGTTGTTCCCCTATATATTTTGCTGATGCTTACTTCGCTTGATTTATGAATTTCTCTAAAAGGAAAGAAATAAACAGTAATTTCATATTAGTTAGGCAGTTGAATGGTGTAGGGTGGCGGAATGTTGCTACATATGTATGTACATAAGTATTTGTCGTTACGGATATAATGAGTTATGAAATTATTTTTTCTTGGTCAGTGCACAAGGAAGTCCTGCCAAGCTATAATTCACTTTGTGGACACTTTTTTCATCAAAACTAATTGGTTAAATACAAATAACATTGCATTATCTGTATACTTATATATCTAACTATAATACCTATGCATTGTCCAACGAAATATCTTTAATTTAATTCTGTCAAGTAATACAATTTGCCATGAATCCGTTTTGCCCATTGAATAATCGAAGTTAACTAACAATTTATAGAAATATTCTGATCTAAGCGCTTTTGTAGCGGGCGAGTTGGTTTTGCAAACTTCAACACATACATTTATATGAGTAAGTTGTATGTATGTACATATGTATGTATTTAAGTAACTATAAGCTAGCGTTTATTGATCATATTCTGTTGCCATACTCTCATTGCTATTCAAAAATTCCGCCAAATGAATAAAACAGGTAAATTCCAATCTCCGGCTTGATGACTAAGGCACTCATACACTGGTACACCGGCTACAAATCGAATATCAAAGTGTTACTCATACAAACATATGTATGTATATACAAACAACGAATGTACATTTATTTTTATTTGTGCTCGAATTATTTATACATATATAAAGTGTCTAAGTATAACCAGTTAATTTTCATACATATATGTATGTATAAAATTCGTTTTCAAAAATTGTAAGCATGTTTTTAAACGGCTGTGCATATTCGAATTTTTTTCTATAAATCTCAGACGTCTCCCTGGAGATCATAGTTTCTTTGTCTGTATATGTTTTCAAGTATATGTTTAGATATGACATGATAATATGATAAGAAACTACTAGAAACAAACTGAAAAGCGGTCTAAAAAACAAAAAATTATAATAATACTTATGAACAAAAATATTTTGTTTTTAATAACTTCTTGGTATTTTTCGAGCCATCAGGACATGAGGAGGGAATAAGCAAAAAGAGCATCGAATACATATTTTACAATTTCAAGACTGTCATAAATTTATTACAAAGTATAATTTTTAATGAAATGTCGTATTTATTAGAGTTGAAGACAGGGTCGATAATACCATATTCTATTACTGTACTGGATCTATCTGATTTTTATACCCTGGTCAGTGTATAATAAGTTTGCCACGAAGTTTGTAACACACCGATGGACACATACATATGTACGTATAATATTATATATAAATGTGACAAGCTGAGTTGATTTAGTCATGTCCGTCTGCCTGTATGTATATAAACTAGTCCCTTAGTTTACGAGACAACGATCTGAAATTTGCCCACGTATTCTTCTTCTGAAGAAGCTCCTAATTTATCGGAACTTTAGCATATAGCTGCCATACGAACTGACCGATCAAATCAGGTCTTTGTATGGAAAAGTTTTTTATTTGATAACTTCATCAAATTTAGCATAGATTATTGTCCAAGGCAACGGTACAATGTTCGAAAAAATTGTTCAGATCAGACCACTAAAGAATAAAGCTGCCATATAAACAGACCGATCAAAATCACTACTTCTTGTAAGGAATCTTTTGTATTTATACAGTTAACGTGTTGTTTTATTTAATTTTGTTATTTTTTTTTTATAAAAGGAAATAAGTTTTAAGACAATGTTTGGTTTTAGGATTATTAACGAATAATTTAATTATTTCACAATAATCACAATTATCTGAAGTTTAAAAAAAGGTTTCTTACAACACAATGCAATCTGCAATTAAATGTTTGCTCTTACGTTGACATTTTTTAGAACCTAATTCAATTAAAAACAAATTTAGTCTTTAAATTAATTTATTGCATTTATTTATCTTTACAATAATATTGGAGTTACAATTATTTTAAATAGCGGTATATCTTAAACTCTTTATTTTAGGAAGCATTTTTTTAAACCATTTAAATAATCCGTACATTACTTTAAATTCGCATCGGGAACCTGTTCTTTGGACTGGTAGCTGTTTCTGGATGGACTAATTGAATCAATGCCATTTGGTATTTGATTTTCTTTGCCACTGTTCATTCTACCAATAAACTTCCTTTCGATAAGATTACTCCGCATTGAATTAGTCCTACGTATATTGCTTGCGTTCTTAGGAGGGGTGTTTAGGAATACACCTTCAAATATTGTCTCGAGGCTATTACAACGGCTGAGACTTTCCCTTCTGTCTTCATTATCAGATGGTGGACTTATAAGTGCGTTGATATCTTGAAGAGCAACAAAATCCGCGTTATGGCAAGCACTAGGGGTAGAATCATCATCCAGCTGCGGGAGTCGAGTTGGTGTTTGTAAATCTTCTGCATTGGTGTCTATAGGCGAAGGTGTACGGCCAAGCGGTGATATAAGCCGGATTTCAAATGCTGGAAGCTCATCATCAATTATAAGTGCATCTAAATCACGCTCAATTGATAATGAGAATGACAGATCACTTTCACTTGAGACTGAGGTTTGAGAACACTGAAGGCGGGAAGTATTTATTTCGGATGCAGATAACTCCATGCTTCTATCAGTTGGCCTTGCATCACTATCCGTGAGAGATGTTCTAATCATTTCAACTTGTTACTTCTGTAAATATTTATAAAGTAATATATCAACAGATATCCACAGGACCAAACAAACAAATACTTTGAAATTGAAATGTAGAACTGTCAAATATAACACTCTCATTGTCATTGAATGTGTACAGTGCTGCCAGACCCACTGAAAGCAAGGTTATTTAAGTTAAGTACACTTTCATATGCAACAACTTTTGTTGCGTCAATCCGTAATTTGTCAGCGAGGTGCCGACTAGGAAAGAGAAAAGTAGCTCGTGCTCGAGAGCTGTGTGTTCTACTGCGTAACAGTACGCTGCGCTTAATTCGGCATTATTTTTCATTTTGAAATTCTTCGATTGGTTGAAAATGCGCTCAGTTCCAAATGGATATTTACAATATAGGAATTCGAATTGTGTTATGCATTTTCGGTATGTATACAAATATGTAGAATAATACATAAATATTCTAGAAAATTGCAAATAAGGATAAAAATTAGCGAATGATTCATATTTTTGTGTACCGCATGAATGAAGTGTACAACATTGTGAGGAAATTATATAAAGAAGATTATAAATATTAATATCTCATTCATAAACTTAAAGTCTTAAGTGGTTGATGGGAGTAAACTTTTCGAGTAAGTAGTACAAAAATAGTAATATGCTTCCATATGTTGAAAAACAACTTGGATTTTCGATATCTTCTTTAAAATATGGCAGGAAAATGTCTTTAAGCATCAGCGGTGGATGCCATGTAGCGGTATTAAGAGGCACACCTCTGTATGAAATAAAAACAAGCGATTTTTTCTTATTTCGATAGGTTATACCTTTAAAAATAACATACAAAAGTCTACAATTTACATTTTTTTATTTACAGGCTTCTAAAGTGTAGCCAGCTTTATTAGCTTATTTTTAACGCGTTTTTCTCGAAACAGCATTTTTTGCAGCATGTTCTGAATATATAATATGCAGTTCTCCAAAAAATTACCTACCAGTTGAATCAAATATTTGATGGGTCAAAAACGACCAAAGTTTTAAGTTTAAATAATTTTTTTTTTAAAACGCCGCCATTTTGGTAAATTTTTATTAGTTTTTTCGACCGTAGGTTATTGAATCTTTACCTTATTCTCAACTTAAGCAATTATCCTCAGGTGAGGTGTCTACACGGAAAATTAAATAATCATCGAAAATATCTTCCTATTTCGATATTTTATTTTATAAATCTTCATTCTGCCATAATTCGGCGATTAATATGAAATAGTATTGAAACACGAATGAGCTTATTATAGGTAGGAGTGCTGCCACCATAGCCTGTCGTAGGACCTTATAATCTTGTTATTCCGTTTCATCGTTGCGTTTAAATCATTTAGTGTTCTCAACGAAACTATTCATATCCGTTATGTTTTTTGTGGACAACCGTTCAGGGTTTGGTGCCTGATGGGCTCCAAGTATTTTGTGTCGGGCTTGTGATAGAACTGGACATTCACAAAGAAAGCGGAAACCCGTTTCGGTATTCCGTTCTACCTTGCTGCAGCAACTACATATTCTTATAAGGCAGGCCCATTTTTAGCGCATGCTCTTCAACAGGCCAGTGCCCCGTTATAGTAGCTGTAAGTCTGTACTATTTCTGTACCTAAATAGTAGTTTCTTAGTTCTATTCTTGTCATATTTGGGACTTGACTGCTTTGTTATCTTGCCGCCTGTTATTGAGTTCCATCTGCTCTGAGTTATTTGTTCAAAATGAATATAAAGCTCTCTTTTGATCGTTTCCAGCGGGCATGGTATTTATTCCGCCGCGGATTCGTCTAAATAAGCTCTTAGCTTTGTAAACTCGTCTGTCTTTTCGTTGCCGAAAATGTTCCCGTGACCGGGAACCCGGACAAGTGGAGTTGACCTGCCAGTGAGTTTAAAGTCATCCTGCAGTTGTTGACTACATTGGAATTAACCCTGTCGCCTGACTGTCTGTGTTTATGATCGCTTTCTCTATCCTCCCGTAGTTGTTCAACACCTAGGACTCTTGAAAGATGCTGGCTGAGTTTGGTAGGCGAATAGAAATCCGCCTCTACTCCGCAGTTCATTTTGGACCCCTTAGATAGAAGTATTATCCTCTTCCCCTACTAAACCTTTTCCCCATTTAAGTTTAGAGGGAACCCTCACCCGAAAGTGACTAAGAACACCGAAAGAATCTAAGGATATATTCTTATTTGCCTATGTTTAGCTGGTTAAGGATGGTGCTATGTCCGTAATCTTCCCGGATCCAACCTGGATTAAAAAGGCTATATACCTACATTCCCATTATAATGTGTTATTTGAATCTTCGAAACTACTTCTCTCCATAAAAGTGTACTCGTATTTACACCGAGTGCCATTTAACCACTAAATCGACCTTGGCTTCAAAGCACTTGTGACCCGCGTTCAAACGTGAAAACTCCCAAACCAAAATGTTCAATCAAAATGAATAGGCAATGTCGTTCGTGGCACCAAAGTCAGCACACAAAAGAATGCCCTAAATAAGGCAGTTAACAGCATTCCACACAAAAGCAATTTAACTGGAAAAAAAAACCATAAAATTGCTAAGCGGTCAGTGCGCTAGACCATGAAACGGGCGGTTGAAGAGTCGAGCAGCCGTACTAAGCAAAATCTACCAAGAGCAAACCAAATGTAAGTAAACCAAAAAAATTATCACAAACTGCTTTCTAAATTTTTAAGTAGGTGTATCGATGGATAATGCAAGATTGTTGCTGTTGCTGTTGCGGCTGCTGGTGGTGACTGCTCTTGAAAGGTAAAACCAGAGCAACGAGACGCGCTGTGCTTATAATTACACAGACAGTGCCTGAATGTAAGTGCGGGGCTCAATTTTCAATTGAATCACTACTTTCCAGCCACAAAGCAGAGCAAGAGTTTGGCGCTGTGGCTTTCCGTTTGCGGATACAAAGCTCACGAGGTGATCGGCCACTTACACATACTTGTATGTGTGTAACAGCTTGTATGCTCTGAAAAAGGGCGCATTGTTGACAGGCGCAGCAATTAAAATACCTTCTAGTGTTGCGTACAATGTTTTTTCGTGTCTGCAACGCTTCTCATTCGCATTCTGGTGTCCACATTTGGCGTCTGGTGACTTGATGTGAAAGCAAAAGATGTCAGCCAACTTATAAACTGTATGTATAGCGAAAAGAAGAGAATTTGAAGCCAAAACTTACAAAAAAATATCTATATATATGTACATATAATGTTGGAGCAAAGTATTTGGCATATAAGTAGGATGATGTTAGAGATGCCGAGTTTTGCGCCATAAACTTGAGCAAGAAAAAGCACACAAGCAGCAAAGTGCATACTTATTTACATATAGAACCCGATAGGACGAAATTAAGTCGATTAAAAATTTCGCTTTTTAACATACATACATAACCTTACTTAGCAAAAGTATATAATACTGTATATATGTACGAGTATATATCAGTTTGCCGTTAATTTCAGGTAATAATATATGCTATAAATATATGAAATTAAAACATAGATTTGAATAGGACTTGAAAGTTGCCATCGAGTGCTCTCAGAGGGTTGTCTGACTTTGCGGTTAAAAAAATTGATGTTTTTTTGCATTGTAGTTATCTGAATCTGATATTCGAAATCTCTAAATTGTTACGTTTAGACTCGAGCTTTTTCGATGTTTTTACGATTTTTTTAGCATGTGAATTATGATCATAAAAAGGACTTTTACATCGCTGCCATTTTATCAGATATTCAAAAAAGATTGTGTCTAGTCTTAGCTGACCATTCGTCCCGGTTTGGCCGGAACAGTCCGGAATCCGAGTTAAGCGTTCCGGCCGTCCTGGGCTTAGAAAAAAAATTAAATGAATTGAATATAATTGTGTTGCTCTCTCACCTATTATCTATGTCGCGATTTTCTGCGAATTATTATATAATATGGAAAAAATCGATTACTAGATAAAACCGTTTCGGATTTTGCCGGCACAGCTATGGTCACCTGAGTCTAGTCATAAGTGGGGATAATCGAAATTAGGTAGACATTTTTTCAAAGTTTTAGGATTTTGAAGATGAAATCTATTGCCAAGAATTTGACTTCGACACACCGGCAGTGGGGCCTTCAAAGACGCGCCAAGCGCAGAGTTAAAAAAAAATGTGTTTTTCTGTATTCAAATATTACAATTAATTACTATGAAAATTTTTTTTGCAATTATCATTTGTAGTTTGATTGCAATTCAGCGTCAAATATGAGCCCGAAGCTTGAGCGCGAAAGTAGATGACCTCTTTACCTCACAATTGCCGAAATTGAGTGACAAACACATCTGCCGCCTGTATTGTACGAATATATTATATTATATAAGTAAGTAGTTACATATATGTATTGAAAAATGTGAATAATATGCTTTATTTGTCGACAGAGTAGGCAATTTAATTTACAGCAACACTTTAGATGTTTGAAGTGCTTGCTGGTATTTTATCCAATGCTGTCCTACCGGGTATGTTTTAAGATATATGTCTAACCTCACGGCATTTCAGCACTTACAATTTTAACGACAGATTCTGAGCGCCAATAAAATGCTTAGCATGAGACGAATAACAATTGTTGTTACTCGAATCGATTTAAATATATTGGTAATGACATGAAGCTTAATTTTGCACGAGTACAGGGGGTTGGAGAAGAAGAGATTTGGTCAGTAGACAAGCTAGCTGAATCTACGGGCAATTGCTCATTACTTACGTGAAATTGTTGTTGTGCTGTAGTCATTAAACGATGGTCGTTTTGAATTATGGGAAATTGTTGTTGTTTTTATGGGCGCTGTTGTTAATATTTTGTCCACAACGTGCTGGCTCTTTAGTGATAATGCTCTTATTATCACTATTACTGATGCTGTTGTCGCCAATTCTAACTGTTGTGTTAGTAGTGTTGGTGTTGTTGTTATTGCTCTCTTATACTTATCCTTAGCTTCATTTAGTTGCTTGCACTTTGTTTTTGTTTAACGTCTAATGGCTATATATAACCAAACTCCCGTGTCTGAATGGCTATTACTAACGGTTCTTTTGTGGTAACTCTGCTGCTCTTGGCCTTTTAGAGGGTTCTTGCTGTTTCCGCTATTTGTTTTTAAACTTTTTCACTTTTTCTTTGCTATTTTAAGCGTTGTTTCTCTTTTTTGTTGTTTTTGTTGTACTGTTCACTTGGCTTATTAAAACTACCGTTAAAGCACTTTTTATTAGTCCGACGTAAATATTTACATTATATACCCAGCGTTAGCTGCGGTAAGTGCCGTTGGTAGCTGGTCGTGGCGTCTACAAGTGCATTCAAACGCTGCACACACACACCCTTGCATCAGGCGACACAAAAAATCTATATACATATACGTATATATATATATTTATATGCATATGTATTTGTGTATTTGATGGCTTGTGCAAACGGTATGCTGGCACGCTTTAATGCACAGTTATTTTCACAACTTTCTCGCTCTTCTAGGTTTTCACTTTATTTTTCACTTCGAATTTTCACCAGAATTTTTATATTTTTAGCAAAAGCACAGCTTTCATGGAACAAATTTAATAACTACCAAACATGTGCTATGAAATATTAAATGTTTTAACTCACAAGCGTCGAATGAGCAATGTCGGGCATTGGAAGTAGTGTTAAGCCAAGTTAAGTACAAAAGCGACCGCTCAGCTCAGTTCACGACGTACGAATGTATGACGAGCGCCTGGCTGCTTGGCCAGAAGTTTGCGCCAGCAGTCAACACCAATACGCGCTTAGATTGGTAAGCCGATGTAGCTGATGTATGCACATGAGAGAATCAGACAAGGCGAGTTAAGCAAGCAAAAAAAATAGCGAACTCCAACTCACAGTTTGAAAACTCGTTTTACCACAAATAAAAAAATAAAAGAAAATAATAATAAAAAGTATCGAAAACAACTAGTTAGTGTGGTAGCAAAATGTGTGCATGAAGCAGCAGAAGCTGAAAGCAAGATACTGAAATAATACAATATATTGTATTTAATCTTGTGTCTGCATGTGATCTTGTCTGCTATGTACAATATGCGCATTCGAAAATTTTAATTAAATAACATTGCTCTAATATTGAGTAAACTCTAGCTAAATGCTTTGTGAGGGGAAGTAAAACGAAAAAAGAATTAGGAGAAATTTTGTCGCTGATTTATCGGAGTTCTAGTTTGGTTTTTGTGTGCGCTGAGTCTATTTTCATGGTTAAAATGAAAGGAATTTTTTTATTAAATTATATATTTTTACAATTCTGGTTGAAAAACAATTCATATTCATATAACATATGTTAGACAAGCCTCAGCACTACTAAAACTAGCTAAAAACCGCTAATTTTTTATTTATTATATGAGGTAAAACTTTATATAAGATATTATATAGGATTGAACTTAGTAGCTAAATTTTATGCTGCCACCTTCCGCGACGAAGCCTCGTACCTCCGTTAACTGTTGGTAAATAAAGAGTATGTGTGTGTGTGTGTAACTTGCCATATTCGTATGTCAAGCCAACGAAAGTCCATATGTATTCAATATGACAGAGGTGCTCATCCACACTTAAGCTACACATACATACACACATACACGCATACACACATGCATATGTACATATGTATACATTTAAGTATATTCTTTCTACCAGTTTGGTTTGGAAGCGAAACGAGTGAGTTGCAATGACGCCAACAAAAATTCCTTCAAGCATTTGCTACTTGTGGCTTTTGTTTGGCATTGCATTCATTACCGCCGTTAACTCGCTTTCATGCTCAGCTTGCGTACGGTTGTAGCAAAGCGAGTGTGCAGCAGAACTTAAGCATTTGCTATGTCGTTGTTAGATGTAAATTAAACCGCAATTCTGTCGGTTTCACATAACTTTGTTGCTTGGTCTACCGGTCGGCTGGCGAAACATACGCACACTCACACACACTTTGAACGTGTGTATGATGTATGAATATGTGTGCTAGTGGGTATTTCAACTCTCTTACGCTCTTGACTTCTGCCACTACTCTCTTCTGCTAACACAGTTAGTTTTAGTTGCAGTATGTAAACGGCGGTATAAGCAGTGTTGCCAATGTTATAGAAATGAAAACTTGGCGCTAAGTTTGAAAATGTTATCTTTGCATGATATTATTTGTGATTGAATGAGACAACAATTGCATTTTACTAAAATTTAAAATTCCAAGCACTTTAACTGCTGCTGGGCTACGAAACCGACAACAAATTGTTCATTTGTTTGTGAAGTCTTCTTCAGATGACTTCGACGAGGCAAGTGGTGATTGCAATTGTTTGCTGAAAGCTATTGAAAGCATGATTGGAACAAATAACGGAATAAACTGTGCGATATAAAAATAAATTTCAATTACGTTCTGAGTACGAAAGCGATTTGCATTTATGTATGCAGATATTAAGAATCAATTTTAACAATAAACGATTGATTTAATAACTTTGTACTATTCATTAAGCTATTGTATTACAAAAACAATGTCATCTTGCATTAAAAGCTTCATTAAGGGGCTTTATAATGAAATACCAATTCTAATATTATTTTATTATTTTCATTGGGGTAAGGAAAGTAGGACAGCTCGTAATCTCAACCCACAAAGACAACGAGTACCATTGATATAAACTGCGGATTATTTCTTGAGCTCGAATGAGTTGCAGGGTTGAAGCGAAATGCCATATGGATAAGCTCTTCATTTTTCGCCCAGAGTTAAGCTTCAGTAAATGTCTTTAGTTGACTCAATTTAAATAAAAATAAGAAAAAATGTTAACTTCGACTACACTAAAGCTATGTTATAATACCTTTTGTAGCGCTCAGTTTGTACGACAGCTACACTACTCGTATATGATATAGTGCTCGGGCAATAATCTGAGCTAAAATTTCGTGAAGATAATTTTCCAAATAAAAAAGTTTTTCTTACAAGAACTTTATTTGGATCGGTTAGTGTATGTGGTAGCTATATGCTATAGTGGTGTAGAGTGTTACAAACTTCGTGAAAAATTTGATATACCCTGGTCGGTTAATAAAAATAGGCAAAAGGAACAATGGTTCTTTCATTTATTGGAAAAAAATGGAAATGAAGACAACGTAAAAGAACTGGTCCAACTATAGTAAAACAAGAAGACTGAACCTGCTAAATGGGTTTAAAGAACTACATGGAAACCCAAAATGAATATGGCCTACCCTAATTAATGTCAGTATTGTGAACTCACGGAGGACATAGCGATGTTTAATTTGGAATAGATAAAGAAACACACCATTCCATTAGTTAAGTTATTAATACTGCAAGATGTTTCATGAAAAATGAGGTATCTTGGCAGAATTTGCAGGAAAAACTCAAAATAAATCATCAATATGGCACTAAACGCCATTCTTGGATTTCGAGGTGCTGATCCTCGGACGCGGTTATAAACGCCAAAAAAATATTGTACGAGGGAAAAATGAGACAAGTTTAGAATAGGCGTGTTATACCGAATCATTATCACTCGTTAAAGTTATTCAGTCTAACCTAAATTCGAATTTCCTTAGGTATCTTTTTAAAATATCATGGATCTCATCTCATCTCAGAGCTAATACATGTGCGTTCATGTCAATAAAAAAAATGTTTATATACAAATAACTAATTTTATTTAAGGCTATAGTGAGAGCAACTATTTATATGTGACCCTGCTCTGATGCGCCGAGAATAGTTGAATTGAAAACTTATGTATGTGATGTTGGAAAAAAGTTAAGGGAGCCTGCGTTGAAAATAGTTGGTAAGAGTGTACAAATAGCTGTAAATAGTTTTGTGTGGAGAGTACTGCGAGTGGCAAAGGTCAATACTAAGCCAAGGATTTGCTGCACATTAAACGAATGACTGTAGGCGTCGGCGTGACATTATATAGCGCATGGAAGTGCTGCTAGCTTTAGATATATCATGCTGAGCAGTTAAAATATTACTGCATTAGTTTATTTGCACAGTGAGGCAGATACGTGCAAAAGTATTTAGAAATGTAGTAGATAGGACAATAAACGCGTTTTTAAGACATTTGCGTCTTTTTGGGTGATACGGCAATGAACTTAAATATTTAAAACAAAAGGAAACGTCCGAGACCATATAAAGAATATATGTAAATGATCAACGTGATGTGTTGAGTTGATTAAGGCATGTCCGTCTGTCCATATATACGGGAACTAGTCCTTTAGCTTTTAAGGTACCGACATGAAATTTTGAACACGCCCTTATATATCCAAAAAGTTACTCATTTTTATGATATCTTCATGTTTATGACGGATCACTATGTGATATACCTGCCATACAAACTGTCCGATCAAAACCAAGATAAAGATCTTCATAAAATAATTCGGCTCCAAAAAATGTGGCTAGAAAGAACTAGCAAAACTTTTTTCGTTGGCCCGTTACGTTTTCAGATTTAGTTAGTCATATAGTTGCTACAAGAAATGCACTTATGAAGAGTATCATGGCTTTGTTGTAGCCGAAATTAACGTTTGTTATTGTTTTTATTCCTCATTATTTTCTCCAACTTAATTATTACTTAACATAATTATTTTATTTTCCAAAATATTCAAATTGCAATGCATATATAAGATGTGTTTACATATGTATGTGTATATAACGTTTTGTCAAAGTTTTCTACAATGCGTCTAAATTTAATAAATTTCAAGTATAAGTTCATTTACTGGCCTCTGCACCATTCTCAACAAGCTTGACATTTTGCAAATAGATTTACTTCTCGCTGAAACGTTGAAAACGTAAAATACAGCACGCACGTTCCCACTTGCAACATAACTCAATTGATTCCTATTCTACTTATCCTTGTTGTGAAATTTAATTCTAAAATATTTGAGCCATTTGCAGCGCTATTTCACACGATTGCTCCTTGCATATTAAATGCGCAGCACAACAAAAGTGACAATAGACGGTGACATCGAACGAGGTCATTAGTTGAACCTACGTAAACAAGCAGCAGCGTCTTAGTAGAAAGCTGCCTCACTACCACAGGCGCACTGCGGTGAGACCTTCGAACAGAGCGAACGCTTAAAGGAATGTCATCTGTTGGCATTGCGCGTGGTTAGACACACATACTTACATACATACATACATATGGATGTACATATATATTATTGCTTGGTAAGGGCCCTTTTTCACTTTACTTATGCTCTTATTTCCACTTACTGTCTTTACTTTTAGATCATTACTTTGCGGCGCAACGCTATGTGTTCCATGCTGCTTCTGTTTCCATGCACTTTTCTTATTTTGTTTTGTTTGCACTCACGCTCGTATTTTTACTGACGCACTCACATTCGCATGCGCTGCTGCGTGCCACCGTTCGATCAGGAAGTTTTACATTAAGTATACGCCACGCCGTCCGTGAAATGACAAAATTTGTACACACATACACGCATGTATATGTACATATATATATGTAGACATTTGTTTGCACTTATCTATTTGCTTTGGTTTTTAGCAGCGTTATCGATTGTTATTGTTGTTGTTGCTGCAGTTCTTTCTATTTTCATATCTGCTTACTTGCGATTCGAATAAAATCGGTGGCGATAACACGTTTTTATTCGAATCTATTCACTTTATTCGTCTTCATAAACAAACACACACACACACATGCATATATATGCATGCATGTATATGTTCTCTTTTATTGTACTTTTGGCTGTGTTTGTGTGTTTGTTATTTTTGCGATTAGTTTAATGCTTTCACATTTGCTGTTAAGCTTCTTTTTGTTGTTATAGTTGCCATTAGTGCCATTCGGTGCTTTGTACACACGCTGAAGAATTTTCAGTAAATAAATAATATACATATATACATGCATGTAAATAATATATGAATACATTGGCTCATGTGTGTATGTATGCCCAAGTATTGCGTACAAATGAGCAGCAGTCGTTGAAGTGATAAAGGAATAACGTGCTTTTAATGATAATTGTCGCAGGGTAGTCGTTTACAAATTGTTTCGCCTTCAAAATTTGCGCTACATTTTACTTCAAACATTTTATGCGGAAGCTAACAGCTTGTCAATTTAAAAACATGCAGTTGCTTTGTAAAATACTCAATATTAAAATTGCTCGTAAAAGACTCTGATATGGTGGATGAGTTGAGTTTCAGCAAAAATTCGTCAAACAATTAAATTTGGTCGAGCCCACTGTGCCGCACACTATTGTACACGTACTTAGTTAGTCAGTACGCTCACACGCTGATAATGCGAAAATCATTAACAGATAGACAGATAGATGAATGGATGATGAGCGTTCGCTACATACATCCAACACTAAGTGTCTGTGTGTGTGCGGGTGTTTGTGCATTTAGCGGAGCGGTTCACGGTTTCGCACAGTCCCCACAAACTTGTAGATGCTAATCGTTGTGAATACCACACGCGCAAACCGTTTCATACGCCACCAGCACATTTGCATGCACACATACACACGGTATACATATGTATATGTTAAGTACTTCTAATATTATTCCAAAATCCATCGTATTTGGTAATTTACATATGGAAGACGGGGTGTGGCGGGGCGTAGCTTGTATCAGCGTGGCGCTTTTAAATTTTACGAACTAGAATCAGTTTATTGACTATATTATTTATTAGTATTAAATTACTTTTAGTCATTTTAATATTCACTGTTATCAGTGGTCAGTCTTCTTGAAGCGGCTGAATGCATGGCAATACATAAATTGTGCGTGGAGCTTATTAGATTAGTTTTTAATGTATTTCTGCAGAGAAGAGCAGTTAGGCTCTATGCCATGTCAATTTATCTAAAAATGTGTAATATGTTTTCATAAAGTTCCCGCTTTTCACCGAGCTAAATACATTACGTACTAGCACAAAGTATTTTAATAATATTCTATTTGAACGTTTCCATTATCATGGAAATTTATCCTTGCAAGAGCAAATATATGAAAACCGTCAGTTGATATCAACGTTCTAGGAAGCGGTATTCCAAAGGGATCATAGCTCAGCCCAATTAGACAAATATGACGCCTTAACCCATTAATCCGTTACTATGGCTTATGTTTACATATTTTTATTCACAAGCATATGCATATTCACATGAACTTATTTGCATACAAAATAAAGTTTATATGTAATTAAATATTGTAGAATACTGGCTGGCAGACTATATTCACTTGTAGAGCGTGTAGTCATGCGATTGTACTCGTATTTGCCCAGTTCTGCAAATACGTGTAAGTATAGAATATATGGACCTTGCAGGAAAATTTTGTGGTTGACTATGCACTTTAAATTTTGTGGCATACATTTTAGGTACAAACTAGACAAAAACAAAACAAAAAACTTTATATTCCCTTGAACCGAAGCTATAATATGCTTTACAAATAAAAATGTTTTCCATTTTGGCGATTTCGACAAATAAGCAACTTGGAGAAAAAAAGACGTGTGCAAAATTTCAGATCGACGTCTCAAAGTATGCATATACCTAAACAGATAGATGGACGGACATGGCTAAATCGATTCAGCTCGTCACGCTGATCATTGATATGTATATATATTTAATTATATATTTAATGGGGTCTCTCGCGTTTTCTTCTGAGTGTTACAATATTCGTGGTAAAACTGATATACCCTACACAGGTTATAAAATACAATTCACGAGAAATAATTTTTTAAATGTTTCGATTAAAATATCATATCTGTTATATTTTAAGGGCTATAAACACAGTTTAAAAAAAATAATATTTCGATCTTTGGCGCTTGCAAAATTTTTACGCTAGCTGATGATTGGGCAACTAGGCCGCTTAGTGTTGGGTCGTGGTCTTTCCGCAGCGGAACATCTTGCCGTTGCTGTTTATTTATTTAGATTTATGTCTGCACTTTATTTAAATTTTATTTGTTTAATTTTCTTTGTTTTGGTCTTGGCTTTTTGCTTCATGTAGGCAGTGTTGGTAATTAAATTGTAAATAGACGGCACATCGCATTGAAATATTTACTGTAAATTGTTAGCAGCGCAAGCAATTAAGTGTGTGAGTATGTGTGTTCATATGTGTTAGTATAAGTTTACGAATGTGCACACAAAAGGTGAAAATTAATTCATTTCATTGCGCCAAGTCGTTAGGTAATTCTGTAATTCTCCAGCGCAAACATCTCTAAGATGCCTCTGCCAAGACACTTTGTTTCGCTTGCTTCGCGTTGTTGTAAATAAGTCACTAATTTGTTGTACATTAACACGCTGCAGCATTATTATTATTTTTTTTCGCACTACACTTTTTCGATAGGATGAGCATTAATTGATATGATTTACTCTCTAATTGAGGTTTACTTAAATTACAGCGACAGCATAATTCCCGATAGTGGAGCTTATCTGATGCGGGACACACGCAGTTAAAAAACACATTTCAAGTAAATAAATTATAATAAATAGCACACGTCTTAGAAGCTCACTTTGCGATTTTCATCTAATTCGGCTCGGCGAACACGTTCGCACGTTTATTCGTTCGCCGGAATACTGAATTTACGAATTCGATTCAATCTCAAGTCCAAATTCAATTCGACTTCGCTATAGTAGACACATATGTACAAACATAAGTATACTAGAAGCGCGTGTATGTATGTTCTTTTGTGCTCACAGAACGCGCTGGCCGCCAACCCAGCTGGCTGGCTCAACAGCACTTCGCCTTCTCAAAAATGCTAAGCGTAGAGAGGCCGCAGAAAGTGGCAACAACGCCACTCGATGAACGTACGCGCACTACCCCAACACTCTCTTCGCTACCCCATGGGTCCGATGCGTGAGCAGTAACAACTTATTTGGTCTGGCAGGAATATTGCCAACAAAAGGCAGTCAACAAAAGCAATTGAGGAACACAATTGTTGGCGCTTGGCATTTGAATGGAGGGCTCATACGCTCCATCAGCTCTCATTTGCAGACATACCCCGCTATTCAACGCTGAATAATGCTGGGGTTGCATGACGCTCAGTAAAGCTCATTTTAAACACACCTACAAATTCGTTTTTTCTCATTCAACCGTGCTCACGGCCATGTCCGTGTCATCCCCTCCGTTCGCCATATAATACCGTTCGCTTCCTTCCCGTTTTCGAACTTTGCATTCACTTCAATTATGTGTGCCACCGGCGGCGCTACTTACGTTGTCGCCACCACTTGCTGATTCTAATCATATGCACCAGTCTGCCAGCTAAATTGGCGGGTGGTTTCCTGTTTGTTTATTCTCTCTGGTTTCTCATTTATGATGTGTGCAAAGCTTTTGCCCATTTCGCTGTTGTATGTTTGTTTATTATGAATATTGTGAGAGCATTGTACTACCTTCCCTGCCATTTTTGCTTCTTAATTAAATGCAGTGGTTCTCATTAAAATGGAAACAAAAATCATTTTTGGCTTCGCTCATTTAAAATAAAATATTGTCTCTAAGCTCTAATCCGTTTTTGAAAATTTAAGTTTCCTTTATAAACCACTCTTCACATCTTGGAGGTATTCTGGAATTCTATTTTTGGAGAGCAATATACGGGTTTGTCCCGAATTTATCACAAATCATACAAGTATATAGTTGCGCTTCCAATAAGTTGGTGCAATCTGTCAAAGTTCAAACGTAGAGCTTTCAGCTGTACCAATGCTGCATTAAGGGTAGCTGCTTTGAAGAACTCTCTGAAGAGATACCGTTCAAGTTTGTGAATGAAATATTAATATATGCGTTGCCAACTACGAGGGTGCCTTTAAAGTAAAGCATTACTGGAAATTTTTTCATAATAATAATGAATGAAGAAGTAACATATGTTTATTAGTCATAGTTTTTTTTAGATGGTCTACTTAATAATATAGCCTTACTTTCGCCCGAAAATATCTTTGTTTCCTTATAAAAAGCCAAAAGTACACAATAAACAAATATAAGATTTTTTATCAGTAGCACAAAACTAAACTTCTTTGGAAGGTATTTCATATCTAATTATTTCGATACAAAAATTTTATAAGTTCCTTCGATAAGGGTTAAATATTTTAAAAGAACGAAAGCTCTAGAAGCTTTTGAAGCAGGTACGAAACTGCAACTAACATTCTCGTAGCAACTTTAAAAAGTTCTGGTCCAAAGCTTTCGAAAAATATCATAAGTCTCTACCAAACATACAGTGGAACATTTTAGTGAGCTTGTGTATCAAAATTGATGTTCAATGAGATAAATTAAAGGGTTTTACTTTATAAAGTTTATTATATTATATTATTTATATATTATTGTGGCAAGCATGCTTTATAAGCTAAATACATTCCGTTCATTAGTGCCTACTTAGAAATAAAGTTTGTTTCCGTCATTCTGTAATGAAAGTCTTTGTAGTTTTTATAAACGGGCGGCAAAAGCTCGTCATAACCCATAGTGTATGCTAGTAAAGAAGAGAAAAAGCACCTTAGCATACCTCCTTCAGTGCTTTTGGTTATCCACGGTTTTCCGGGGGCATGATTGTTGCTTATTGACATAAACTGACCATTAAGGAAAGGATAGTGGTGGTGGTTGCTGCCTTTACATTAAATGCAAGGAAACTTTTAAAAGGAACATGACATAATTTTATGATACCATGAAGGGAAATTGGGGCAACGGTTCTGCTTCACTGGGCAGGCAGCCAAAAATCATAAAGCAAAACATATGTAACTCATTTCATAGAAATGCTACCATTAAAACTTGAAAACAGATTTAAATTCAGAAATGTTGATGCATAACATTCTAAGTGCCCAAACACATATGAAGTCACACACACACTTTTAACTTGTTTGTATATATCCAGTTATGTGTAAGTGTGTACATATGTGTCTAAGTATTCGAGTGTTCAGTATAAGTGTATTACGCCTCCATTGGCGTGACTTAAATAACTGTCAAAGTTGCAAGAAGCAGAAGAGTGCCAAAGACAGCAACAGATTGGTGTTTTCACGTCGATTTTGATACACAAATTGCAAATTAATGGGCGAGCGTGTAATTGGTTACTTAAATTCGTGTGCTCTGTTAATGTGCAACGAAAGGAAAATGAGAAAAATATAAAAGCGGGTTATTTTCGGCAGGCAAACTGATGAAATGAATTTTTCTTTGCAGAAGGAGCTTGGGATGTAGTTAAGAATCTTGTAGAGATTTGAAATTTAGACATTTGAGTTTTTTGAATGTAATTACATTACGATATACTTACTTATGCTTTCAGCTTATGCTGCTATTTTTATAAGATTTTTTTATAAACAGCGAACACTTCCCACGCTTCACTTTACATGAATATCCACTAATTGGAGAGGAAATCTTTTAAAAAGTATTATTTAACTACCTTCAAAGTCAATTTTATTGTGGTAAACTTGCAAGAAAAATCTTATCTTATCTTGATCTGTCTCAATTATATATTTATATGATGTGTGGAGAAGTTTAAAAGTAATGCTAAAACCTTTTATAATATTTTGTCGATTAGGAATCTTACTATGACAGCAATATCATTTCACATTCTCTTGGCAATATATATCTCAACTCTCATTTTCCAAACGGAAGTACTAGGCATAGAGAAGGCCTGTGGTGTTCTATTGAATAACTACATAACAGGTATAACTAGTTTCATTGAGAGCATCAAATAGTTTGAACGCAACGATGAAACGAGATAGCAATTATATAAGGGTCTTACGATAATGCATCAAAAAGGCGCATCTAGCGCTAATTGACACTGGGAGGCTGCATTCTTACCTACTTACCTATGTATCTCGAATATGTTTCAAATACGAATTGTTTAATATTAGTTAAATTTTGTCGATAAGTTGCTGTTAGTTTTCTCTAAGCATTTAAGTTCGATATTGTATAATTATAGTCAAATAGTTATAAAAAATTAGTTAAATATTCAGGAGTTTCTCTTTGTGGGCATCAATATAGATTATAAGTTTTTATATTCTAGTTATAAATAATATCCTCATTTTTCAAATAGATATTGTTATCCAAAATCAATGTTGATATATATTATATGTATGCTTCAGTTGTACCCTATAGAATTTATGTAAATAAATCAAGTGATAATTAAACAACTTTTTGGTGTAGAAAACATATTTTAACAACCATTGTTAGTTAGTGTAATATTTCTTCGAACTTCTGCAGACACATCGCTTACCTAAAATTAATAGTTTTTTTGAAATTCAGGAAATTAATAAATGAACATATATACACATAAAGTTAATTAATTAATTTATTAATTATCTTTTATATTTTAGAAATATTAATAATAATCTGTAGTCTTTTAATGAATGTTTATGTCACCTAGCCACAAAATCGAAAATTCATCAGCAGTTTAAATTTTCTGCTTTTGTTTTCCCTGATGTTTCCTTTTTGGCGCTTCCTGTGTTTGTTTTCTGTGGTGTTTCTCTACTGCCGATTCGGCAGCTATTGCCAGAGGTAAAGTTTCGCTTTCAATATCCTTTGCAATAGTCAATTTGGTAACCTTTTCCAATTCCTTTATTGTCTGCATATATAATTTCTTCGCCAAAGCTATATCCCGACCATGCAGTGATGATTGTGATACTTCGCAATCGCTAAAACAACAAAAGCAATATAAAATTAAATATTAAAGCAAAGTTCTTGTTTGCAAGCTCAGTAGCGAGTATGTGAGGGCTTCGTGTAGTCTACGTTGGGATAATAAAATATACATTGCATCTGCAGTGAGGATTATGAGTGGTTTTCAAATGCCGTTGCTAGGTGAGAGATCTCAACCTCAGTAAAAAAGCTTAAAGTTATCGGCAAAGTTCTTAGAAAAATTCTATACAGCTGGAGTTGTTAAAATTACCCTCGGCCACTATAATAATTTTAATATCTAACCAAATCCAACCAATACCATAGAAATAAAACTCGAAAATGTGTGAGTTTAAAGCCTTATGCTGCAGGTGCACGTATCCTGAACTCACATTCAAATTATCACGATGTACAGTGTCGAGCTGCCGGGAGGTGTGCGCATTGGTAGGCGACTAATACTTACTTGAAATACTCGCCGCTAACGTTCTTGAGCTTCGGATCGGTGGCTAGACGTATGGCGCATTGTGCACCCTCAAATGGATTCTTCATGAACAGCCACATCCATGGGAAGGTCATCAATTTTACACTAATGGCGGACATTAGTGGCGAACTAAAACGAAACCAGAAGAAACGAAATGAATGAACATAAAAGAAGCAAAAGCACAAACAAATGAAAATGGCGAGATTATACGTATGCTTTTTGTAGTTGTTTCGTGGCCTTTGCTCAAATGTAAATGTAATCACGTAGATATACCTAAGAAGGTGCTATGCACGTGTGAAATTTACTGCCATTCGAAAACGACAATACACTTTGAAGTTCTTTATGCTTATGTATATGAGTGTGTGTGAATGAGCTAGTACCTGCTGCATTAAACTTTTCACTGAACTTCGCCTAATTAAATTCTAGTTTTAGAAGAAAATCGAGTAGAAATAATCACTTAAGTCTTTATATTTGAAATTTCCTTCGAGCTTTTCACAATCACGTGTCACAAATATTCAGTCACCTTTGTGGTCGGTATCGAAATATAGTATAGCAAATAGGATCAAGAAAACCGATTCTCGGAACAAGGCAATTGATGAAACCATATGAATATGCGCAACTAAAGGCCCATTCACATACAACTTTCCTCGCTTTGCGTGACAGTTCATAGTGAAACAACGAAGCGCAGAAAACGTGTTTCTCTACAATAAAACTGTCGACGGTTGCGTGGCAAAGTGTAAAAATATGAGAGTTCCCAACGTTTGGTTGGCTTGGAGTCTAAAACTTTTTATGTGAACGTACAGAAGCGTACATCGCACTTTTCTGTCAAAACAAATGTATGATGCAAAGCAAAGCAAAAGTTCTGTGTGAATTGGCCATTAGTGATTTTCTAGTGTTAATTAAAACAAAAGTTGGATTTTTTTTATTTAAATATTTCCGGTATTATTAAATTATTGACCTATGGACTTATGTCCGCTAACTATATTCCTGTTTACTTACTTTACTTGATGTAGTATTGTAATAAATTGGGGAGATACCGCATACCTTTCGGTAATCAGCTCTATATTTGTCACTCCCGCTCTTTCTCTCTAACTAAACTCGACAGTTCTTCTCATATATGGTATATGTACACATATATTAATTAAAACATTTAGCAGCCTAATAAATTGCTGCAAAATGTCGCAACAACTAACTTAGGGACGTAAACATTGCAACATAATGTCGAATATACGAGTTTGTACTTCTCGAAATGAACAAATAATGTGGTAAAAAATACTGCGATTGCATAGCCTAGTTTTGGAATTTTATGCATGTACCAGTAAGCAGCTGAAACAAAAACGAAAAACCAAACAAATTACGACGACGACGATGACGAAAGGGAAACAACCAAAAGTTGCAAGACAAAGGCTATGAATAAATTAACTTGAGAAATGTGCGGTCGAGGCTGAGGTGTGGCACAAGCAGATGGATCTGACTGGGGCAAAAGACGACAGACCTCACCAGCTACCCTAACTCGGACAATGAGCAAAACAGCAAGCGTTAAGCACAAATACTTTAAAATGCAGGAAAAGGAACGGAAATGCTGCAGAGAATCGTAATTAAATTTTAAAATGCGCAAATGAGTGACCTTTCGTATACCAAACTTACAAAATCGGGTCTAAATTGGTAACGAAATGATAAATATATACGAGTACATACTTATATGTATATGTGCTATTTGAAGATCTAGTACCGTACTTATTAGTAAATCTGAAAGATTCTATCACATTATATTTTCACAGCAGTAGTCTTATACAGGAGTCTATTTTTGGCTCTAAATTGTCAAAAGTTTTTACATTCGGAGTGCTGAACTCTACTATTTGGAAGTCAGGCTGTATATTTGAAAACATGAAATCTTTTTCAAAGCCACTAATCTTAAAGTGGGCGAGAACTAATTTTTTTTCGAGTTCGGAGATGGGCGTAAACGGACCACTGTCAAGCTGACAAAACGCTATTAATCGAAAACCTATAAAATGCCATAATTAAGCACTAAAGCTACAACAATCAAATTCACTAAGCACAAATTCTATAAGAACCCCTACCGACAGTATGAAAATGCATGAAATCGGATTATAACCCCGTCTTCTCTCGTTATAACGGTTTTATTAAAAACTACTAAAAGCGCGATAAAGCAACGACTAAATACCCCCGAGATGTATGAGAGGACTTTATAGGAGCCGCTGTCAAAATTGGATGATGGGCGTGGCACGGCCTTTTTTTAGGTGAAATCACATATCTCGGGATCTGCTCAACCGATTTCAACGAAATTCGGTATACTCGTATAACATTATTCTGACATTCCTGTGTTGCAGCCTGAAATGAGCGATTAGATAATTTAAGAGGGCTTCAGAATAGCCAATGTCAAATTAAGGTAATAGGCTTGGCACCGCCCTCATTTAGGTCAAAACCCAAATCTCGGGACCAACTTCAGTAGGTGATATTATCCTTAGCTTCCTACATTATAGTGCGAAAATGCGCTAAATCGAACAAAAACCACACCTACTTCCCATATAACACCATTTTAAATTCCATTTGACTTATCCAGTATACAAATAAAGAAAATGTAGACAAAGATAAAGAAGATGTAGACCAATCTGTGAAATACATTCGAAAAAAGCTTTTTTATGATAATATTATGTTTGTATGTCTAAAATGGATTAAAACGAATCAATACTCCCTTTAGTTCCCATATACCTAATATAAAGATTTTCGAACTTCTGGCTGACTTTATTCCGTAAATATCGGCCAATATCTGAGTTATCTTAATAAAATTCAGTGAGCGAGTGTTCCTAATAACGATTTTTGTGCCTAAAATGGATAAAATCGGCTGAAAACTTGCCCCTACCATTATATAACTGATATTCAGGATTTTCACATCCGGCTGGCTTTACTCCTTATATTATTGAAGATGGTAAGTCAGGTATCTCAATAAAACTCAGAGAGCATCCTTTTCTGTTAATAATACGTCGTAAAGACCAAAATAGATAAAATGAGGTCATACTACCCTTACCCCCCATATACGTAATAAACATGTAACGCAAGTTGCAAGAGTATAAAATGTTCGGTAACACCCCGAAAGGGGAGTTGATTCCATTTTCAAATATAATTTCCTGTAGCAAAACTAACTCGAACACAGAGAAAATGTGCTATGCCAACATTTTGCATATAAATATTTATAACAATGTACCAAAAAGTTCTGTAACTCCATGACCTACGGTTAAATACATTTGAATTTACTCCATAGGACATAGTGAGCGACAATAAGTAAAGCAAGCGCGGCTCTACACAAACCCACTACCGACACAGCAGACACCAGACAACGTCGTCGCATAAATGTAATGCCACAGAAAGCCTCGACTGCACACCACATGCCGCATGCCCGACATCCTATTACTTGCAACAGCTGCTGTTGTCACTGTTGTTATTGTTGTTATTAGGATATGCGAGCATTGGCTTTAAAACACACATAAATACAGTCACAGATGCTTAGGCGCGGCCAGAGGTAAATTGAAGGAGAAGCTTTACTCATCCCCGCTCCCGCAACGAAAGTATTCACTTCAGCACATACCTGAGCACGAACCGTGCGAGGGTTCACCGACATTTTCACCATCCGCAAAATGTATAAATAAATAATTAATACGTTTATCTCTTTTTCATTTGCGCTTTTCCGTGACTGTCATTTCAGCCGCTTTGTCTTGCATAAATACTCGCTCGGCACACATGCGGACACACACGAGCGTATGAAACGCTTCGAGCAGCCGAGAGACCCGCTGCTTCCGCTCCTTTGTGCCACGCGTTATGTGCTTGTTGTTATTGCTGTTGTTTTTGTTTTCATTTCTCTACTAATAATCACCATAAAAAGCGTTAAGCTTTACAAATGTCGCCACTTTCCTTTCAGTCTTAACCGCCTTCCACCCCCTTGTCTCTATCCTCCAACTTGCCTATTCATTATACGAGTGTTGCAGCTGTTGGCTTTTTATAATTTCGTGTTTGTTGTTGTCGTCGTTGTTGGTTTTGTCTTTGGTGTTGGGGCTAAGTAAAGTTCACGTAACTCAAGCGTGATGCCAGCTGCTGCCGCTTTATGTGCCAATGCGGTTGTGTATGTGGCTGCCTGCCGCTGTATTACACCCGCTAATAAAAGACTCTAAGCAACAATATAGACGCATGCTGCAACAAAAAGGAAAGCACGCTTTCTAAGTTTGCGAAAACAAAGAGGATAATGAATAGATATATAGTATATATTCTGTGTTTGCAGGCATCCAATAAAGATCATAGAAGAAGTAAGTCATCAAGACCGGGACAAAAGTGATGCGACAGCATGGAATTTGAGACTGAAAACATACATCTGCATATACAGTTATGTAAACAAGGAAGGATTAAAAAATAATAATGCTCGATGTGCTAATGCTTTTCGCTTACAGCATATATAATTAGTTCCTGTTATGAATACATGTGGAAGAGAAGTTGATGCGAGTGTGAGTAATCTTTATGAAACTCAGCGCACATTTATTTATTTTGGACTATCGAATTTAGCTACATAAGTAACGTCTAACTAAGTAATGTCTAAGTAATGGTTAGCCGAAACCACAGAGCACATTTGACTCTACTGTCTGAAATGTTTTTTATTGAATTTTTCAAAAATACCTTAAATATTTTTGATTTTGTCTGATATAGAAAGTTGATAAGTTGTAATGAACGAGGGTTTTTGCTAATCTACAGCATTCTCATGATATAATTAAACATTGACGATAACACTATCAAAATAATTTTCATGTTTCTAGATATCAATGGAATGAGACTGCCTCCCGTCTATTCTCAAACCATATTAAAGTTAGATTATAATAAACAAAAAACTGATGTGATACTTTTAAATGCACTTAATTCTTACTATTTTGAAATCAGAAATGATGAAGTATTAGGTTTATATTCTGGTATTCAATGGACGTTTGAGTTCAATTTTTATCAGTCCAAATATCAATAGCGAATCGAAACAAAATCCCAACTATGTTGCTGACTTTAACTAAGGGAGAATGCGTTCTGTATTCGAAACTCTCAGTCCTACGATAACAATCTCAATAAACACTAGAGGC